ATAACTGTAATTGCGCTATTGTTAATAATGCAAATATCTGATATGCAACCCACGTGAAAGGGTCGTTTAACCCCTAAACCGGGTTTCCACCCAGATTGAGATCCACTGGATTAGGCCTTTTTACACTTTCAGGGGGATGTTTTCTGTGTTTCTTCACTGATGGGGGTGTTAGTTGTACTTGTGCATCGTGGGGAGGGGTTGTTCTGTGTTGAAGTAGTTACCTCATCAGACTGGGAAAGACTCATTTAATTCTTAATTTGGTAACAGTGTAAAACATTTAAGTCAAGAATAGGTATTGAATTTTGACGAAGGATTTTTGAGTTTCTTCAGATAGTCACGGTCATTCTCTTTACTCTAGAAGAAGGCCATACTGGCACATCGTGGGTTATCTGTTCAGCAAAGACGTGGGTCTCCACTTTGCATCTCTTGTAATCGTTTGTAAACATCTGGTATTATACTGACCTCAGGAAAAGGAGAGAGTTAGCATGGGACTTGTGTTTGTGATCGTTGGTTTTGTGTGTCAGCTTGGCCAGACTAAGGCTCCCAATCCCAACTGTTTACTCAAACAGAAACCAAGGTGTTGGTTGAAAGGTATTTTGAAAATACAATTACTGCTTATAATTGGCTGGTTTCAGGTAAGGGAGATCATATCAGGTTATCTTAGCCAGCTCGATTTGGTGGATTAAAAGCCTTAAGAGCAGAGGTAGAAGAAACCCTGGCTGTGGATAACAAGTTCTCCTGCCTTCCCAACAGCTTGCTGTGCACATTCTAAACTTGCCTCACCAGCCCCAGTCACAGAGGTCAATTGCTAGCAACTAGTCTTCTCAAAATGTCTGTGTTCTATTTCTCTGCACTCCTCTCTTTTCTTTTATCCTCTTCTTTCTTTCTTTTTCTTTTGTAGCGAGCGGAGATTGAGACAAAGACTTACTATGTAGCTCTGGCTGACCTGAGCCCACTATGTAGAACTAGGCTGGCCTAGAGATCCACCTGTCTCAGACTTTCAGGTGCTGGGATTAAAGGCGTGTCTCCCTTGCATCCTACCTGTCAGTCCTCTTTTCTAAAATAAAGCCAAGAATTTGGTAACAACGGCATTTCCCCTTTCTGACTTGTTTCATAGGCCTCCCCAGTGAAACAGTCTAAGTCAAGGACTGTGATTAGTCACAAAATCCCTTTCAAACTACGAATTCTGATTCGTAGACTGAAATAGAATTACGCTGGTTGCTGTTTCTTTTAGCAAAACCTTTAGCCACCCTTTCTCAAGGCATTTGGCCTTCCCATCTAACGTGTTATCTCTGAGCGTCTGATCATCCCCTTTTAAAGCCCGAGATAGCTCTTGTGATACGTGGTAGTAGCATTTTTCCTTCTTTCTTTGAAAGACCCAAGGTTTTTTTTTTCTATCTCATTAAAATTTTTCTTTCTCTTTTAAGCTGTCATTTTTTTTTCTTTTCGTTATTGATGTTTTGGTGGTTTTGTTTGTTTGTTTTTTTTAACTAGCCTCTCACCGTGTAGCCTGGAGCTCCCTGTTCTATCCAGCTGCCCTCCGACTTGCACCAGCCCCTCCCGTGTCCACCTCCCAAGTGCTGTCATTTCAGGCCTATGCCACTGCGTCTGTTTTTTTCCTTTTCCTTTTCCTGTTTTTGTTCCTGTTGTGCTTGTTTTTTATCTTCTTTTAAAATGTCTGTATTGGTCTTTATCTTAAGTGTATGTGTGTCTTGCCTACATGTATGTATATGCACCAGGTGTGTTCTGGATGGGTGGAGGATAAGAAGAAGGGGTCACGTGCCCTGGAACTGGAGTTGTGAATGGTGGTGAGCCATCATGTGGGCGTTGGGAATTAACCGAGCTCATCTGAAGGCAATAAGATGCTCTGACAACTGAGCCATCTCCCTACCCACTTTTCTACCTCAAGATCTAGTTTTTGGTAGTTAAACTTCCTTTTTACTTAAAAAAAAAAAAGTTAAAGCTATATGTTTACCTCCAAATGTAACGTTAGTTGCAACTTTCAGACTTTGCTGGTGCCCGATTTTCACTGTGTTTTCCTAATGCTGGTGTTATTTAGAGGTGTGCAGTGGATTTTCCTGATAGTCATCTTGTTTCTGTGTTATTGTTAATCCACTGAAGTCAGATACGCTCTGCACTTTGGTCATTGAGGTCTGTGGATACATGCTTTATGGCCGGAAAGAATTGGCCCTAGTATTAGAGCCATGGGCCATCATCTGCTCGGTGGCTCATCACAGACTCTTCTATTTCCATTGAGTTTTGTGGTTGTGGTTGTTGTTGTTAGTTTGTTCTAACCGTTGTTGAAATAAACCTGTCTAATTTTGTACCATGTGACTGTGTTTATCTGTTTCTTGTAAATGCTGTCAGATTTTGCTATCATATTCTGAAGCTGTCTTTATCTCCTGGATAATTTGACCAAGGTTTCTTTTATTTATTTTTTTTTAAGACCTGTTTTGCTTTTGTGTGTTTATGTTTCTGTCCGTGTCTGAACACTTATGAGTGTAGGTGCCTGGGGAGTCCAGAAGGGGGCGTCGAATCTCCTGGAGCTAGAGTTGCAGGAGGCTCATGCAGGTTTCTGGAAACCAAACTCCAGTCTTCTTTGAGAGCAGGAAATACTCTTAACCCCTGAGCCATCTCTCCAGCTCCCTGGCCTCTTTTTCTGAAGAAATAGTTTCCTTTATGAGTCCTTGGATTAAAAGCTTCAGTGTTCACAGTGACAGTCTTTTTGCCTGGCATGTTTACCGTTATTTACCTTTGTTTTAAACTTGTGTCCAAAGTAGAATCTGCAGGTCGAAGCCTTGAGTTTTATAAAAAGCGTTAACACTGGAAAAAGGTCAAAGGAAACTTTTCCTCAGCAAACAGATTATAACCGAGAAACCATTCTTTTCAGTGCTGTTAGCGTTGACTTAGAACACAGAGCTGACGGACAGGTAACACAGGGCCTAGAGCAGCTGTGGATGGCTGTCTGCAAATCTAAAAGCTTCATCTCTAAAGAGAGGCTTATGTAGAACACCGCATACAAATCGGGCGTGCCAGCGTGCCATATTCTGCCTTCACAGAGATGGCTGTTAGCAGAGGTCAGGAGACAGGTGTTAACCCCCTGTGAGGTCTGTAACGAGAGACACTAGTCCTGGGAACCAGAGCTGACCTCTGAACTCTGAGGCACACAGGGTGCAGTTTTGTATGTAGGTTGTAGCTTTGACGGAATGCAGGCACAGGGTTTAGGGCGGTAGAGGCGTACATGTAATGCTCTTTTCCGTGCCCCTTGTGTGGACACATCCTGGTATCTTAAAGGCTATTGGCTGAAGGAGCAGAAGGAGCTACCGCAGCACTGGAGGGTGATGAATCTAATCGATAGGATTTGCATATTTATTTCTTAATACTTTTCACAGTCTAAGTGCTGTTCAAACTTTCAGGGCCTCCCTAAGACCCTGGACTGCCCAGCCGCACTGTTTGTTGTGGTATTTTCTTTTCCACTCGGAGATCAATTTCTTTTATCTCACGTGTTCCCAAAATAGTAGATAAAAGAGGCCCTTTTATACATACATCAGTAGACAGCTGGCTGATAAAAACCATCATTTTTCCCTTTGGTAAATCAGACGGAGATCTTGCCAGGAAGCAAGTCCCGGTTTGCTAACAGCACTTGAGACTGACCTCCCACAGAATCGGGAAGAGCGGAAGGCAGACCAGGCAGGGCACACTCATGGCAGCTTGGCACAGACTCTGCAGCCGTGCTGACACAGATTCAAAGCTCCCCAGTCGCTCTCACGTGTGAGCTACTCGAGCCTGGGTTTATTCTTAATACTGTAAACAAACAGTAAAAAGTACCGTATACCGATTAGGTGGCGCTATGTGTAAACATGTATCCTGACTTTGGGCTTGGGACAGGTAGGAGTTAGAGTTCAGGGATGGAGTGAGCCAAAAACAGAGATGGCTCCCATAAAATTAGACTACATTTCTACTACTGTTTATAGAAACATGCTCCTTGGCACATGCGTCCTAGACCTGCAGCAACAGAACCCCATGGAGTTACGTTTAAAGTCAGCTGCGGATAGGTGCCTGGAACGTCCCCAACACTGAGAGCAGTTGGGGAGATAAGTACCAAAAGCCCACACAGGCCCTTGCATTAAGTGCTCCTATGGGAAAAAAAATGGCTTTAAAATTTGTATTATTAAAATATGATATTCTAAAGGAAACTCTTGTATGTTTGTTTTGGTTTTATTCATTTGCCTTTGGAGGCAGGGTCTGTATAGCCCAGGCTCACAGGGAAATAACTTTGTAGCCCAGGCTGGCCTCAGTCTGGTGGAGTTCCTCCTGTCTCAGCCTCACAAGGGTTGAGCCTTCTGTTAGATGCTAGCACACCCAGCCTCACGGTAAATCCTCCTGAGGAGATTTTGTGGGATTGATCACTGTCACGTGTAGGTACACAAAATGCAAAATAGCCCACTTCATTTTTGTTAAGATTTTACATATTTGGTAAAATTAAGTTTACTCCTTTTTCCATAAGTCATTTCCCTTTGGAGGGTTAAAGGTAATTTTTCTTCCAAAATTTCATATTTTAACTTAAAAAATATTTGCCCAGTCAGCAAGAATTGGTATACTGTTGGAAAGCACCTTTGAACTTTTTAGACTTTCTCTCCGTTTCATGAGCTGGGCAGGGTGTTCGTCTCTATCCACTGGGGCTGAGGACCGGTCACCATGGAGGAGGCTGGTATAACCATTGGGAACTCAGTGACATTTGAGAATGCCGAGAAAGGGGAAAATAATGAAAAATAGAAACACACCAAGCTTTTAGCATAGTGGTTGGGGAATCTCAGTTCAGGTTCGTGTTTGAGTGGCCCTGCTAATGAGAGTGTCCAAAGACGTCTAAAGCATCTGAGCCTTGCGCAGGCATGTTCAGTGTTAGCACGGGTACCGTGATGCTTCTTCTTCCCGGGGTGGGCACGGTTCTCTGCAGCTCCGGCAATAAGGAGGCCCTGTCGCTGTGCTTGCTGTTCCAGACGCTGTTACTTGTGGTGAGTGTGATAGCTGTGGCGGCTGCAGTGATTCCCTGGATCCTCATTCCCTTGGTTCCCCTCGCCATCCTCTTCCTGATCCTTCGGAGATACTTCTTAGAGACGTCAAGGGACGTCAAGCGCCTGGAGTCCACAAGTGAGTGCTGAGGGTCTCAGGTGGGTGTGGTAAACTCATCCAGCTCGGGTGGGCGTGGTGAATGCATCCAGCTTCCGTGATTAAGGAGAACTGTGGTGAAGAAGATCCATGAAATTCTACAGACTGACTCTGCTCCCGCAGCCCTCTCCAGGGTTAGCATTCATTCCACAACTGAGCATGGTTATTACAGCCCTCGGGAATCATTGCGGCCCATATATCCCAAGTGTGACTTTGCAGCTAACCTGGAGAAAGGGGTAGAAGCCGTGTGTAGACTAATGCTCCGCCTGAGGAAGGACCCCCCTTGTCACTCACGCCGTCCCTCCTCACGCGTGCAGAGGAGATGTGCAAGAAACGTTTTCTGGTGAATAAGATATTTGCAGCATGGGTCAGAACTAACTTAGAAGGAGAGTAATCCGGGAAGTTTTCTTCCCTAAGTGACGAAGGGAGGAACAGTAAAGGAAAGTGGAGAGAGGGACCCAACTGTCCTCAGGTGCTGGAAGTCAAGGACTGGAAAGAGACAGCTGGTGCTCATCACTGGTGTTGGCTCTTCAGAAAAGTAGGCGTTGATACTTTCAGGTTCTGTGCTGATTGTTGGCAGCACTTGGGGGAAGGCTGCAGAGACTCAGCTATGCCGGCAGCAGCAGGGACAGCATTCTTTTGCTCCATTTCTCTTCCCAGTGTGGGGATAAGAAGGAGAATGTTCTGTGATTAATCACTCTATTCTGTAGGTAACCACAGAAGATGAGCTATCGGGAGCCCATCTCATTATGAATGTGCAAGCATATTTTATTATTATTAAAATTAAAAGCCAGATAAATAGAAGTCCTGCTTTTAAGAATGTATAAGGCCGACAGCCAAAAATGGGTCAAGAAGGAAGATACTTAAATCTTTTAAAAAACTATTTATTTATGTGGGTGCCTGTGCATCAATACGTGTGTGTTCTTGGAGGTCAGAAGAGGCTATCATGGACATAGAGTTACAGGTGGCTGTGGGCTGCCAGATAGAGGAGCTGGGAACCAAACTTGTGTCCTGTGGACGGGTCGCAGTCTTAACCTCCAAACCATCACTCCAGCCCCCGCAAGGAAGATATTTGTACCAGAAAATGCCCATGATGAAGAATTGCTACAACAATTTAAAGCCAGCTCAACTTTCTGAAATCTGAGCCAGGAAGGAAGTGTTGGATGATTAATACTACTACTACTAATAATGATAATAATGATAATAATAATAATAATAATAATAATAATAATAATAATAACTGAGCCAAGAAGTGTTGGATAAGAAGAAGGAGGAGAAGAAGTAGCTCATCAATACAGCAAACTTTCTTTTCTCATAACCTAATCTGTGTTTTGAATAGACTCTAAAGACAATAGGAAGTCCTTGCTGGCCACTACCAAAGGCAGTCATAGAATGTTGTGTCTCCCGTAGCACTTACTGGTATCCTGAAGGTACGCTAGCAGGGTAGAGTGAGCCTGTCAGGGAACCATCCTCACCTGACAGGGGGTAGCCCACATGTCTGACCCCCACTGCAGAATATATATTCCCCATAGTCAAAGACAGGTAAAGGGGAATTTGTCTTTTAAATTCTGATAAGATAATGAAACCATTGGGCCTACAGTGGGAGTCTGGAGAAGAAGGGACAGTGACACCTGTCATACTAGTCTCAACCTTGAGAGTAAGCTTCCAATTGGGTCACGGCCAGCCCAGAGATGTCCCATCCGGGTCAGTGGTGTGGGTACAAGTGCAGTGTGACACCTAGACACATGGTGACCATCAAGGACTGCTCTCACACTGGTGGACAGAGGAAGCATCTCTGGGACGCACAGGAGGCCCTGTCCATACGGCTTTCTTGTTGTCTGTGTCAGGTACCCTTTCAGTTACTGGGAAATGGTAGCTATGTGCCAGCCCTTAAAATAACACTCTAAGAGGGGGTTTCAAAAGGTTTATATAGGTCTAGCTTTAATGTGTTGTGATAAGTCCTCTAGTGAAATTATGTTTTTAGAACCCTACTGGCCAAAATTTAAAATAATCGGTGAAAAATAATTTCTTCCCAAAGAAATAGCTGGGAAGTGTAGGATGGGCTACTGAAGGGAGCTAGACCTGACTCCGGTCAAAGGTGAACTGAACAGGAGTAGCACTCAATTTTGTCTTTAAAATGCCCAGGATTTGGGGGCGGGGAGAAGGGACTTCTCAGGTTTCTGGCAGTGTTTTGAGTAGAAACCTGGAGCCCTTTAGGAAGCCCCAGGAGTTCCGCTTGGTGCTTCAGTGTCTACACTTGGAGCACAGGAGGCCTGGGAGGCCACGCACACAGCTGCGCTGAGCCCTTGGTTGTGTTTGCCTGTGTTTCCGCAGCTCGGAGTCCCGTGTTCTCCCACCTGTCATCGTCCCTGCAGGGACTCTGGACCATCCGGGCGTATCGAGCGGAAGAGCGGTTCCAGGAGCTGTTCGATGCACATCAGGACCTGCATTCAGGTTTGTCCATTCCAGGCGGTGTTTTCAGAAGCCGGCGGCGCCTGCTGCCCTGGACTGGATGCCTGTAGGCGCCCTCTGCCTACTCCTGGCCTCATGCTTTCTCCTTCTGCTCTTGGGCTCTGAGCCCTTTCAGAATCTCCTCATGTCTGGCTTTCTTCTGATTGGCTTGCTCAATCCTTCCATCTTGGTGTCCTATGGCTCTCTGTCTTAAGTTTAGGACCTCAGTCAGCAGAAATATTTTGCAAACGACCCCCTGCCAAATGTTTCCTGCAGTGAATGCTGTTTTGTCCCCATGGCATCTCCTTTCTTTGCTGTTATAAGCATGGAAGCAAGTACCAGCAAGATGTCAGCAGGGACTGTGGCTGTCCTGCAGGACTCTACTTGGTCATAGACCATAGATCCAATTGGTGTTCTTGGTCATGGACCATAGATAGCTAACCATCCAATTGGTGTTCTTGGTCATGGACCATAGATGGCTAACCATCCAATTGGTGTTCTTGGTCATGGACCATAGATGGCTCACCATCCAATTGGTGTTCTTGATCCATGGGCCATAGATGGCTAACCATCCAATTGGTGTTCTTGGTCATGGGCCATAGATAGGTAACCATTCAATTGGTGTTCTTGGTCATGGACCATAGATAGGTAACCATTCAATTGATATGCACAGGGTAGGTAACAGATATGACTGACAATTGCCAACCATCTATGATTCTTTGTGTTCATGTGAGTTCTTTCCTCCCAGAAGTTTCAGGATTCCCTTCAAGTCTCTAAAATCTTCCCTACCTTTATTGTGTTTTGATGACACAAGGGCATGTTAAAAAACTACATGAGGCTCCTTTAGCGTGCTAGTCAACTGGATACAGCCCCTGAGGGTGTCCCATCCCTGACCCGAGTGTGTGCAGAAGTAAGGAAAGTATCGGAGGCGAAGAGGGAGCTGTGTGCTTCGCTGTAGAACTGGAAAGTCAACCTATAAGCAGGTGGGCTTCATATTATAGCCCAGTACTTTAAGAAGTAGCAGACCATTTTTCCATATTCTTTATTATTATTATATATCTGCTCATGAGCTCTTAGTTACCTTTCAATTATTTTTTCTTTTCTTTTTTTGCAAAGCCTCTGTGCTGTTTGAGGTATGCGTCGTATGTTGCTTTGCATTTCTTGACTTTCTAGAAATGTTGAGTGTGAGACCTTGCTGCCCTGCTGTTTCAACATCTCAGTGCCCCTCATGCTCACCGCAGTTAAACATGGCTTTTGTACTTACTCACTGCGCTTGTTACGGTTCCCAAATCCAGAGGCTTGGTTCTTGTTTTTGACAACGTCGCGATGGTTTGCCGTGCGTCTGGATGCCATCTGTGCCGTCTTTGTCATCGTCGTTGCCTTTGGGTCCCTGATTCTGGCAAAAAGTAAGTGCAGATGTGAATAACTATTTATGGTATGATTACAATTTATAGCTGTGTTTACAGTTATTAAATTAAACTCTTGCCACCTTGTCTAATGGTGCGTTCTGTGTGGTTCTAATAAAGTGTGTTAAAGCTTTTACAACATGTCAGGGTGGGTAGGATCATGCAGTGTGAACCAGTGAGAGAGTCTGGATAAGTTCTTTTTATCTTTGTTAGAACGAACCGAGGTCTAAACAATGACATTCTGAAAATTCCTGATCTGGTAGCCTGGAGATGAGACCCAAGTTTACTGTTAACGTTTTGTCCACCCTAGGGCTCTGTATTTGAGCCTTGGGACTGTTCTTAGTTTGCTGATGTCCCTGTGCACATGGGTGAGAGAGAGACCCAGCACGAAGCACACTGTGCTCACTGCCAGGTGGGCACTAGAGGAGCAGGTGTGGGCACGTGTGGCGTGAGCTCGCCATGCCTAACCCCTCTCCGATGACACCTCTGAATTAGGATGTTTATTCATAGAACAATGGGAGTCGTGTTTTACTTTCAAAAGCATTGACTCCTCGGACACATCACCCTGTTTGCAGTGGTTTCCAACTGCGGTCGCATGGGACATAGACAGTGGGATTACGTAACAGGCCTTGAACCATAATGACGAGTCTGAACAATAACATCAGACCTCACGTGCACATTGCCTTTCTCAGATGTGTGTCAGTCCTCCCAAGATGAACAAACTTATCTAATCGTCTCTCGGCGTTCATAACGGGCTTTTTAAATTGCAGCATGAGCTCAGTCAGTGAATGGAAATGTAACGATTGATTACCCTGGTTGTTCGCAACTTGCTGGGTCCTCTTGGTAGGGCAGCAGAAGGCTGCAGGATCAAGTTACCACTGAGACTGACTGTCCTCTCTTTCCTCCTCTCAAAGCGCTGGACGCTGGGCAGGTTGGCTTGGCCTTATCCTATGCCATCACACTCACGGGGATGTTCCAGTGGTCTGTGCGGCAGAGCGCCGAAGTGGAGAATATGGTAATGTTTATCTGAGCGTTTTCGGCCTTTTAACAGTCCCCTTTGCCATTAAATGACATAAAAGCAATTCTTATGTAAAATATTAAAACTGTTATTTTTGCATCATAGCTAACGGAGTTTTTTTTTTAAAGGTCCCGCTTCCATCTGTTTAATGTTAATGTAAAATAAAATGTATACATCTTTTTCTCTGTCTTATGTCTGCTATGTCAGCAGGTTTTAGATTCATCACAAGCTGTCTTCAAATGTAATAAATGCCTCTGTAGGAGGGAAGTTCTGAAATCCGAGAGAGGATATAGGCTAATTTCTCCGAGGCCTGTTTATTTTTGTTTCTTAATGGGTAATTCCTCGTCCTTGGTAAAAGAAGAGTTGAGTTCAGTGTTTTGAGGCTGTTTGTTTAATTAATAGCTCTCCCCACTCCGCCATTCCTACACACTCATCCCCAGTTTTACCATCTCCCATGTGTGGAGTAGAAGGCGGGAGGCCCCGGGTTTCTGCTGTCCTGTCCGTTGCTGGTGGGTAAACGCCCACCTCTAAGGTGCTTCTCAGACGTAGCGCATTATGGCCATTGCAGATGGTTTAGTCAGCATGTGAATTGCTTCTTCTTCGAAATATTTATTTCTGCTACTGAGATAGACAGTGAACACAAGCTCCTTCCATTTCTTCTTCTCTCGCACAATAGAAATTGTTACTGTGAGTCCTCAGGATGCCTGAGCTGACTGCTTTAGGATGAATGTCCATTCTGTAGCCAGAGATTATTGACCGAAGGACATAAACTTTTGGTTTTACAAATATCCTTTCATTTTTGTGTTTGTGGAAGGGGTGTGTGTGTTATTTGTGCACGTCAGAGGCAGGAGGTTTCTATGCGATGCCTTCTTCACCCTTCACCTTGTCTTTTGAGACCAGTCTCTCACGGAAATCAGAAGATACCAATTCAACAAGACTGGCAAGCCAGTGAGCCCTGCCGTGTGTCTCCAGTCCACTAACACCTGGGCTACAGATCCACACTGCTGTGCTTACATTTTTGTTTACAGAGGTGCTGGGATCCAAACCCAGGCCTTCATGTTTACATAACAATCAGTTAACCCATTGAGCAGGCTCCCCAGTCCCTCCTCTTGCTTTTCACTCCGTGTTACAAGGTTGAAGGGATGAGCTGTCATGAGTGAGGTGTCAGGTGATGGTGAGCGGAACTGTTAAGTCAACAGAGTCCTCAGTGGTCTTGACATCTAGAAAGCCCCAAGCAGGCTTTGCCCAGCTGTGTGTAGGCCAGACACCTCCACAAGCAAACCCCTGATTCCTGACCCATATGGATGCCTTTTCTCTTCCAGATGATTTCTGTGGAGAGGGTGATTGAATACACAAACCTCGAGAAGGAGGCGGCTTGGGAGTACCAGAAGCGCCCACCCCCGGGCTGGCCCCACGAAGGAGTGATTGTGTTCGACAACATGAGCTATACCTACAGCTTGGATGGGCCTCTGGTCCTCAAGCACCTGACGGCCCTCATCAAATCCAGAGAGAAGGTTTGTTGAAACGGTCTTGCCCTCTAGAGTGTCCCCGAAGATTTAGGCTGCATGCATGTGCCGACATCCTGGCAAATCTGTCAGCAATACTCTGTCCAGGGGTGAATGGACTATGTGATGGAAAACTAATATTTCTTTTTAAAAATAATCTCCACTTTATTAGCATTTTTAGTTATTCTAAAGTATTACATAATAGTTTTGAATATCTTTTTTTGGTAAAAAAATGTTTTCCTCGTTTGAGAAGAAAACTAGTGTTTCCTTGGTAAAGTGCCCGGGTTGCGGTGTGCCAGAATTTAACCGGACCGGAGTTGATTATATCTGATCTAATGCTTCCTGATAATTATCTGATCTACTGTTGTCCCTGGACCCTTGTCACTGAGATGCCCGTGTCTACTTCCCGTTTTTATCCCTCTGTTGTCGGACCAAACGCTTTCTCTTACCCCATTCTCCACACCGACCCTCCTCTCCCCTTACCTGGTGCCCACGTCCCTTTCCTTGGTCTTTCTTGCTTTCCTCACAGCTGTGTCCAGCCCCTCACCCACGGGCTGCCTGAGGCCCACGTTAGCTGTGAGCACAACCCATCGGAAAATCAGGTTCACTGAAAACGTGCGTGTGTTTCTGTTTTGCCGTTTTTCTGTTGTAACTCAGTTGTGCGTTGGTGATGACCTCGTCAGGCTGGACACCCTGCTTCTGTTTTCTCCTTTGCCTTCTGCATCTGGTGTCCTTTCGGAGGGGTAGAAGGGATGTGTGCTCCCTGTCGCCTCCTGTTTGGGCAAGCTGTTGCTATCAGCCAGGCCTAGACATACCCTGGTAGAACTGTCAGATCAGTTCTCAGTCACCATGGAAACCCAACCAGAGCTAGGTGGGCCAAGCTCAGGCCGAAGGCAGGACAAGGCCCAGAGAGACTCAGGCCAAGTAGAGAAAGAGATTCAGAGCCCGCTGTGGGGTTAAGGGGGTGTGGACTGATTTACCAGCAAGTGCAGCTCTTTCAGTGGCTCTGGCGCTTGTGGTCTGGTGCCCTGGGAGGACCACAGCAGATTCTTGCACAGACCAGACCATAACAAACTAGGCAGTAAGAAGTGCTTCGCCACGGCAGCCTTGGCTCCCAACACAAGCACATACTCCCATACACGGGGTGTTCCCAGTTGTTATCTGCTGTCCTAGCCTGGGCTGTCCTTTCCTGATGACGGCTGGCAGACCCTTTAGGCTGTGCTTCCTTTCTCCACGATTCCTGTAGTCTCTCCCTTCCCAGATGGGCCTACAGGTCACAAACGGCTGTGGCCTTGCTCCTTCCCCCACCCTGGCAGATGAAAGTTCAGGGTCCTCCCTAGTGCCTGCCTCAGTTCTCCTTAGCAGGTCAGCCTGGTCAAGTGGCTGGGAGCTGGCTCAGCCTCTCGCACCACGGGATGTATAAGCGTCAGCAGCCGCCTTGGTCCTGTGGACCTGAAGAGGCTCTCCCTTCCCATTCGGTACCACCATTGTGCTTTATAGAGGAGCTCTCCCTTCTACTGCCTTCTTATTTCAGAGCCTTCCCACGGCTGAAGTCTGTAGCCTCCCGAGTCTTTAACTCTCCCATCGAGTTCTTCTGAGGATCACTGATAACCCTTTTCGTGCGTACAGATCGTCACCGCCTCTGTGAATGTCTCTTCTCTCGTTCCCTCCTCTAGATGCTTTAAGACGCTAGTGCTTGTGTTGTCTTTGTGTTTATTATAGGATCATTCGCAGTGACCAAAAGGTAGGAGCCACCTAAGTACCCCTCAAATGGATAAATGAAGTGTGGTGGAGACCGTACTCAGTCTTTAAAAGGAAGGGGGAATTCCAACACATTCTGCAACATGGCTGTACCCTGAGGGCATCACACTGAGCTAGAGAACGCCCGCCCATAGAACCACAGTACTCTAAGAACCCACTCCACCACCTGGACTCATAGAAACCGGAAGGAGAATGGCAGTTTCCAGAGCCTGGGGCAGAGGGGAGCATGGAATGAGAATACTGTTATGGGTGCAGGAATTCTTGTTTTGTATGCTCAAAAGAGCTCTGGATACAAATAGCAATGGAGGTTCACACCCATGTAAATATAGTCAACGCTACTGCCCTGTGTGCTTAAAATAGTTGTGATGGGGAATTTTATGTTCTTTTCCCATAATTTAGAAAGTATATGAAGTAGTTCAGCATGGTAGTTAACCTAGTTTTCAGTGTGATGAGATTTGTAGTCCCCTGGGAGACAGGCCTCTAGGCATGCCTTGTGGGGAGAGATATCTTCCTTAGTTTATTCAGATGATGACACTGGTCCACTGTGGGCGACACCATTCCCTGAGCTGGGATCATGGTCTGTGTAGACAGAAGAAATGGAGCTTGATAAGCAGCCGTTGTTCTGTGTTGTGTCTGTGGAGGCGATGTGGCCAGCTACCTCATGTTCCTACCACTCTGAATTTCCCATCATGGCGGACTGGAACCTGGACCGCCAAAGCAAAGCCTCCCTCTCCATTTCTATCAGGGTATTTTTGGCGAAGTAACTAAGACAAATACACCTGTGTATTTTGCCACAGGTTGGTGTGTGTGTGTGTGTGTGTGTGTGTGTGTGTGTGTGTGTGTGTGTGTTGTGGCATGGTTTTCAGTCCTAGATCTATATCTCTGTCCTTCTGGAGGTTAGGGAACATGCAGTGCTCTTCCTTGTTCCCCAGTAAACGTCATTCTGCAGGGCACGTGCTAGATACTGATGACAGCTGGCTTTGAACACGAGTGACCAAGAAACAGTATGCAGGCAGGAAGAAGCCTATAGCAACACACTTCGTAAGACAACTCTGTCAACAGCCCCTTTTCCTAGACGGGCGTGGGAAATTCCCCCTTCCCTGCTCCCTTTGTTTTTATTTTTATGCTACTGTGGATTGGATCCAGGGGTGGACATGCGATAGGCAAGCGTTCTGCCCCTGCCCCACGACGCAGCCCCTGGAGTGTTAATACTTCTCAAGCTGCTCCTCTTAAACGCTCCGTCCCCCCAGCCCGTTTAATGGCCTAATCACAGCTGTGATGTAAAGAGTGGATACCCTTGCGACATGAAAGGATAAGTGTACAACTTGGTGCCCGAAGGGTATACAACGAGCAGCTTTAGCAAGCCACTTGGCAAAAGCCCGATCCTAATTATTTCCACGGCTTCCTTGTAGGTCTGAAGATGGGGTGGCTGACTGTGTGGGTAAAACATGAGCTTCAGCGTTGATGAAAGCCAAGCCTCGCCGATGGTGTCACACCTGACAGCTCTGTAGGGTGTCTGCTTGCTCGCAGATGGCATACTTATCAGATCTGACGTGGCGAGCGCAATCCTCTTAATTTGCACGTGTCTTCAGTTCCCCTGGGAGCCACAAACGATGAATTATATAAGAAACTCTGTTGAACAAGTTAGAAAATAGTGTATAGCCCCAGACTCGTACTCTGAGATCCTTAAAATAAAACAAACAAACAAACAAACAAAAAAAGCCCAAATCGTAGGATCACCTGAGATGCTAAAAGGTTGGAGAGTAAATTAAATTTGAAGGCTGAACTGTATCTGTAATGACTTAATTTTTGACTTGTGTCTTGCCCACCCCATCCCAAGCAGCTATTGCCTTGGTTTACGTTCATTTAGAGTCTGCCTACATAGGCAGCTGCCTTGTGGAATGTCTCTTTCGCCTGCGTGCATGGGGTCCCTCTCCTTAAATCTGTTCCCGTTTGCTGGTAGCCCCTTCAGTGCTGGATTCGGGCTTGGACATAGGACTGTGCCAGCACAGCAGAGATGGAGCTTTGTTCCCTTTCAGTGACATCCTCTGAGATCCCCAGAAGTTACAGTAAAGAAGAAACTGTGGCCACTACTAACCAGGTTCCTAATTTCTGAAAAGTACAAAAATAAGATCAGGAGCACTCTGGGCCTCCGGGTTAGCATCTAAACACTGACTGCATTTTTTCATTTAGGTGATTTTGTGGTTGATTTGATCATCTGAGAGAGCAGATAGATAGATCTGGGTGTGCTGTCTTTTTATTTTTTTTCTTTCCCAAAGCTATTACTCTGATAATACATTTTTACAGATGTGTGCCAGACCTTGCTATAATGTGCAGAGATATTAGTTTCCTACCTTCTCTCTCTTTTAACATAATGTTTTCTCCAAGAGCCATCCTCTCTCTCCTGTCCCTTATTCCTAGCTGAGCCTGAAGCATCACATCTAGGAATTTGGTGGGAATGCAGATACTCTGGGCCAGACCTAGCATTTCAATGAACCCTCCAGCTAAGTGTTGTGTCTCATGAGGAATTTTCCTTGATTTCTGTGAAACTTTCTTTTATATTCTGAAATTGATGCCATGGGTTACCTCACCCTCTTCTGGGACAACTCATGAGAGTTTTGACTAAAGCCCTAGGCTGTGTGTCTGCGTGCATTAGTGTATGTGTGTGTATATGTGTGTGTGTGTGTGTGTGTGTGTGTGTGTGTGTGTGTGGTTTGTTTGTCTGTTTGTTTTTTGGAGGCAGGGGTTTCTCTGTGTAGCCTTGGCTGTTCTGGAATTCACTCTGTAAACCAGGCTGTCCTCAAACTCAGAGATCCGCCTGCCTCTGCCTCTCCCAAGTACAGGGGGGATTAAAGGCATGCACCTGGAGTATTTTTTTTCAGTTTTAAATTCTGTCCACCATGAGGTAATTTGACTCTTCCTGATCACGTGCTCATGCATGGATTTGCACCTTTCCAGCGGTGACCTCTTCACGACTGTTGTCACACAGAATCCAGCCGTCCCTGAGCAGTGGCCTCTGTTGCGTAGTAGGCCATGGACTGCCAGATTCGAATCCTTTCATCCCCTCATGGCACGTAAGAGTAAACCAAGGGCCAGTGAGACAGCTCGGTAGATAAAGGTGTTTGCCCAGCCTGTTGATCTGAGTTCACCCCAGCCCAGCCCTGAGCTCAGAAGGGATAGAACAGCCTCTTCCAGGTCGTGATCCGACTGCACGCATGCCGTGGGACAACTTGGCACACCTCCAGCCCCTAACACACACATTTTTTAAAGTCATTCCCCTGCCCTAGATCAGACACCAGTTCTATTCTGTTTTCCAGGTTTTCTGTCCACCTCGGGCTTCTCTCTTAGCCTGTGCCATAGTGACAGTTTGTCCTGTGAATACCTGTATTGCTGCTTAGCAAGGACCCTAATCTCGTCCCACCTCCCAACACTGGGGAGCTCACCACACAGTGTATAAGACACAGATCGATCTAGGGTTTAGTCCCTCAGGCTCAGGTATGCCTGATTGATTCACAGGTTCTTAAAAACCTTCAGTTTTCTGCTTTGCAAAGTCAAGTCATAGGGCCTCACCTTTGCAGTACCCCACACAGAGATCAACACAGCAAATGCGTGACCAGGTTTGGCTGTCATTATCCAGTAATAAGGTGACTTAGCTGCTTATAGCCCATGACCTGTCTGATCCATGAAAGTGATCGGTTGTCCCCCTCACTGTCCTGGTCATGATTGTGGAACTTACCTGCTAGGTCTGTCCTCACCGACGGGCATATTGTTTACACGAACATATTGGGGCTAATTTCAGAACTCCCTCAAACTGAGATGAACCCTTCACTCTCTGTGGAACTCCTCTATGTCTGGGGACAGGACAGAAAATGCAACTTTATCCAGGAGAATCCAGTGGAGCCTTGAAGAGATGGTCCTAGAGTCGCTTGAAGATAGGATGTAGATGTTTAAAGAAAAAGTATTAGGGAATCCGTTAGGAGTGGAGATGGGCACATGAGAGACAGATCGAGTGTTTGGTGGCATTAGACGTTTGAAAAACACGTGATATCAGCAGATAGAAATGAGTGTGAACGGCATCTGGATAGGAGGGATCACACTCCTTTCCACCTGCTAGGCAGGTGTGCCAAGTGTGTAACACACAGGCTCTTGTGCAGGAACCCTGGAGGAGGTCCTGTGGAGCTAAGGGTGGACAAGTCAGCCAGGTGTGCATATACCGGTTTCCTGGGTGGAGCGAAGCCTTAGAGGCTGCATTTGCAAGGGGTACCCAGAGAGCCTAGGACGCCAGCAGTGGTCATCTCCTAGTGAGACATGAATGGAGAATTCTCTTTTGGGAAATCACATTACTGCTGATTAGAACAAAGTTGTAGCATTTGGGTGGAGATGCACAAGGCTGTGGGTGCCAGTGGAGATCAAGAACCTGCTTCTGGAGGCTGGCTTGGCAAGACTCAGCATCTTCTTTTGAAGTGCTTATACCTGTTGCTCAGTAGTTCCATGCTGAGGGATTTATCTTAGGGAAATAATTAAGGTTGTTTGCAAAGGCATAGCCTCAAGGATAGTTGACATGATGCTCTTTATAACAGCGAAAATATTTTGTAAGCAGCTGAAACATCCACAAATCAGAGATTTATTCAATAAATAATCATGTGTACTCTTCATGTGCCTTAAATATTTATATGAAATAGTAAGTGGCTACAGCATTGTTTAGGTACCTCAGTTTCCATCTTAGGAACACACACCACACGAATGCACACGCACACACATGCATCCACATGTTAAGCGTCATTCCATCAGCACGCTGAACTCAGGGTTAGTGTTTATTCACTTTGCAAATTGATTGCCCTGATTTTAATTGGGATGAGTTTATTTTATTTGTTCTTAATGTGACTTTGCATTCTACAGTCGGCTGTGGGAGTTAAAAACAGAGGGATCATGTTGGCAAACAGAGGATCTTTGGAGCTTGAAGTCAGGCTGCCTGAGAGGTTGCTGGAAGTAAGATGGGCAACGAGAGCCTGGCATCTTTGTGGGGAAGAAGCTAGGAAATCGAGGGGAAGTTCAAAGCTGTGTTGAATGGAGCATTAGCTATCGGTCCTACTGAACATGGACTATGAAAAGTCTAACATGTTGCGGCTGGAGAGATGGCCCGTCTGTTAGGAGCATATACTGCTCTTCTGGAAGACCCAAGTTCAGTTCCTAGCATCCACAGTGGGCAGCTCACAACTGCTTGAAACTCCAGCTTCCAGGGCTCTGCCTCCTAGGTACCCACTCTCTCATGCATATGCCCTCATTCGTGGATGAATGCGCGCACACACACACACACAATCTTTTTCTAAAGTCTAGCATGATGCTGTGATTGTTAGAGATCAGCCTTGTGTAAGTTGGGAAAACAGGCAATTGAAAGTAGCTAAGATTAGACCATCTCTATATGTCACTTTGTGGTATTTCCATAAACTTGGTGATATCCTTCTCCATTGGCATGTATGAAAATCCATCAGTTACCCGTGAAAGTCTTTCAGATGATCGTTTTTTGTTTGTTTTTTTACTTTGATGGGAAAAAGTGGCGTTCTGTTTTGCTTTAAATTATCCCCCCTTAAGTCCGGATTTCCCCCTTCTGTCATCAGGCTGCTTCAGCAGTCCCTGTCTCTCAGCTCTTCCCTTGTAGAGATGAGTGAGTTGTACATGTGTATGCAGAGACATAGCTAGCTAGGTACAAAATCCAGCCCTCGACAGGGTGTCAGTGCCTCCGTGGAATGGATAAGGGCTTCAGGGATTCCAGATAAAGCTACCTTTCCTGTAGTTATTCTCTAGACTTTTTGAAGGGCCGTTGCTGATTGTGCTTGAAAGTATTCAAATTGACGTAACATGTAAAATCCCCAGCATATAACCAGTAGGTGGTTGAGTTTGGTTCCTTCCTGTTTGAATGGTGAGGTATTTTTTTTAATTTACTGAATTAATTTGCAAGTCATAGAAAGCATGTCTGTGCTCTTCATTGACTCCAAATTTTTAATAAGAATGATGTCATCTCTTTGGATGCTCTCACCGGTTGAGCCGGCTCACGGGAGAAAAGGCTAGTTAATCTTCTGCTCATACACCCCTAAGAGCCAGCTTTCATAGTTCAGTTTCTCCCTGACCAGCAATCCCCTTCTTATATTGATTCTTTGATCTTATTGTCAGTGCCCTTCATTTCTCTCTGCTCTGACTTTAATAAGAGGAATGATTCTTCACACAAATCTTTCCCAAGGGGCAATTGTAAGTATTAATTGGTTTGTAAACTGCCTTTTGAACTGCTCAGATGAAAGGAGCCGTGTAAATAGCAAAGGCTGTTTGTTGGTGCTGCTGTTGTTGATCTCATTACGCATGTTTGGGCTACAGGTTACCGTCTTTTAAGATGCAGAGACCTGCATTTGCAAATTTGAAGGTATTTCCTCTCCAGCCACAGCATAACCAAGTAGTTAATAACCACAAGTGGTTTAGTTTCTCCGTCAAAGATGGATTCATTGTAAATGATAGGACGCTGGGTGAAATGAAGCGTCTTTATGTATAACTCTTCTGGAATGAGCCGTTAATTCCTCTGCGGAATTATCCAGGCAGTTCCCAAGGTTCTGTGCACCCAGAGCTCGGAAGGGATGCTCATAAAAATCCACCTTCTCACCATATCCTGAGGACACTACTGGTTAGTCCCTAACATTCATAGGACTCTTCTGTACCCAGCGGGTCTTACCCAGGGGCACTTTTACCAAGACTTGACATTTCAGGTCCCCACGCTGCTAGGGACATCTAGAAAGGACACCCCAGGGATGTTATTAGGCATCCAGGTGTGCCCACCGTGAAGAACTACAGAGCTGAGTGAGGCCGAGGAACTTTTAGGTAGAAACAACACACGGTAGAAAGTGTCATAATTTACCTTTGAAAATGAACGGCTCGCCTATGTTGGTTACATATGGTTAATGTGCAGTCCTCTGGATTTCTTTATAGGTTGGAATCGTGGGAAGAACAGGAGCTGGAAAAAGTTCCCTCATCTCGGCCCTTTTCAGACTGTCAGAACCCGAAGGGAAAATTTGGATTGATAAGATCTTGACAACTGAAATTGGACTTCATGATTTAAGGAAGAAAATGTCAATCATACCTCAGGTATGCAAGTTAGAGCGTCCACATGTGTTTCTTCTGCAGGGGTACTGAAGTTTAATTGCTTTTAGTTTTATTGCTGGCTTTTTAATTGGATAAAAGGATTGATCCTTTAACCAACAGCCAGTAAGACATAATTCAGCAGGTAGTTTTAACAGCTATGTTCATAGCTATCTTATGTGTGTGCGTGCTTTTGGGGGTGGGGTGGGGCTGTGTGTGTGCACGTGCGTGCTTGTGGAGTCAGACAGACAGACTGGGGAAGATTCAGTACTTCTTACCTAGATTCATTCTGGATTCAGCTTCTGCAGGTGTTACACTTTAATCCACTGATATTAAATAATATTTAGTGGTCAAAAGTCTGTAAGTGCAATGAGGGACTTCTGCTGTAGGCAGTGAGTTCCCAGTTTCCCTTTCAGGGATGGTCATCTCCATGCAAAGGTCTTCTGTGGAGCAGAGACGGGCTGTGTAGATACTCCCAGAATGTGCCTGTTAACTGGGGAGGGAGCAGAGTCCTGGGGGAGACCTGGAAAGGCTTGCATCTCTAGGTACTACTGACAGGGCACTGTGGTGTCACCTCTGAGAACTGTGCTGAAGGCTGGCTACCTCAGTGCAGGCTGGGCGCCTCACACAGGCCGCCGTGGTAGTAGAGGTTTAAGTGCCGTTTCCTCCTGGGCTGACCTGGTTTTTTTTTTTTTTTTTTTTTTTTTTTTTTTTGGCTGTTTCACAGCTGAAGACTTCTAGGCAGTGTCTAGAGACTGGATTACGTACACACCAGAAGCTCTTAGTTTACTTTAGCTTCTTGTTGAGTTGCTTTTAGTTGTACCCAGCATAATTCAGAAAGTCTTTATTGAGTAATTGCTATCCTCTATGTAGACGGCCACGGGCAGCACGGGGCCTGACCCCACAGGCCTGCCGCCTGCAGCTGTGGAGCCTGATGGCTTCCTCCTGCCCCCGCTTTGGACGCTTGCATGGATTCAGCCCCAGGCTTGCTGTTTGGGGCTTCAATTTGGGCATGTAATCATCTGGCCATCAAGGGGAGCTGGGGAACCTCTCCCCCTCCCCCACGCACACTCATCCCTGACGTGAGGAATACAGAGAGGAGACGAAGGAAAAGGCCAAGCAGCCCTGCTTTCTGAGCGTGTGCCAATCATGAGCCTTTGTTTGTTTGTTTGTTTGTTTGTTTTATTATAAAGGACAGAGAACCCCTTCATCTATTCCTTCCTACGCTGACCTGTAAAATAACAGAACTGCCCCTCCACTGTGATGAGGTTGTGGAGGAGTCAGAACTCTGTGTTCTGCTACTGGGAATGTAAAATGATACACAGCCCGTGTAGGACACAGCATGGAGACTCCTCACAAGGCAGATGATAGGACTACCACATTATCCAGCCATTCTGTGCATGCGTCTATGTGTGTGTGTCTGTGCATGCCCACGTGCGTGTTTCTGTGTGTGTGTGTGTGCGCGCACACGTGTCTGTGTGTGCATGTCCACGTGCGTATGTCTGTGTGTGTGTCTGAGTATGTGCGTGCGCGCGCGTATCTGTGCGTGTGTCTGTGTGTGTCCATGCCCACGCATGTGTCTGTGCGTGTGTTTGCATGCATATACCATACTATATATATGTAGGGAATGGCAGAGATAGTCATTCACTTGTGTTTGTAGCAGTGGTATTCACAGTAACCAGGAGGTGGAAACCACCCACGCAGCTATCAACTGATGAATAGCTAAAGACAAAACAGCTTATACAAACAGTAGGAACTTTCTCAGCTTTACAAGAGGAAGAAATTCGAATGCGTGCTACAACATGGGTAAAAACTCTAAAAGCTCAGACCAGCCAGTCACAGAAAAACAGAGAGCAAATGGTTCTGCGCATGTGAGGACTGGTCAACTCCATGGAGACACAGGAGCATGGCGTCCATCAGAGACTAGGGAAGGCTGGGATGGGAGTCGCTTTGTCTAATGGATATGGGGATAAAGCTTCTAAGAAAAACAAAAGCCCAGCGACTGTTGATGACCACTACATAAAAGTGTAGAGACAGTACTGTTGACCTGTGAGACCACTGCATAAAAGTATAGAGACAGTATTGTTGACCTGTGAGCCTTAAAGTGATAAAGAGGGGAGGGGCCGGCGAGACAGCTCAGTGAGTAAAGAGACAGACAACTTCTAAACCTAAAGGCCTGAGTTCAACTCTCATTTTACCCACAGGGCTGGAAGGAGAAAACCCAGTCCCAAAAGTTGTTCTCTCACCACCCCAAGTACACCCTAGCACATGTGTGCGTTCTCACATACATGTCATCGTAATAATGATGGTAAAAACTCACTGATTAGCGGGCAGACTTCATGTTGTGTATATATTCCGGCAAGCTCTTGTAAAGATCAAAACACAACCCTTGTAAGGACAAGAAAAAGTGGAAGCCGTCTCCCTTCCCATGAGGCTCTCTGAAGTGTGGCTACAGAAGAACTGGAGTTCAGACCCCAATGCTATCTGGGAAGATTTGTTCACCTGATCTTAGGCGTGTCTGTAAAGTCCTCGCGTCTGCGGATGAAAGGCTCTAGAAACGTGCCCCATGCTACTTTTTAATGCTGCTTAATAAAAAAATGTTGTGTACATAAAAGAACTCTAAATAAAGAAGCGGCGTTAGATGATTCTTGGCTCCTCCGGGAATGTTTTGGAAGCACATCTGAGCCAAGACTGAATACACCTTGACATCACCGGGTTTGGTTCTGTTCCATGAGTTCCCACCCTCCCTTTGTGCGAATGCTCTGTGGATCTGCTCCCGGGAATGCGCTCACAACGCGGTGCTAACAGAGCTCTGCGTCCTTGTAGACCGTGATCACCAAGCATTGGAGGGCGCAGATCCTCTCTGTGCCTCGAGTTGGTTGATATAAGAAACAATTTAGAGAAAGCGTGCAGCACACAAAGCGCCCAGAATAGACTGTTTCAGGGCGTGTGCTTAATGTCAACACATCCTGTATGTCCCTCCTTCTCCGACGGCCTCTATGAAGTAACCTCACCTGGCCGCAGTAGCTTAGCTCCTGCACAGACGCCTCATGAAGGAGCCACTACACAAGACCAAGGAGGTGGCCCAGCATGTGGTTCTTAAGACTGTTCAGGAAATAGTAACTATTATTGAGGATTAGAATACTGGCCTTTAGGTATAGAACACATTCTAGAAAGACGTGGCTCATACATTTCAGTTCATGTTGCTGTAATCCCGGTGGATTTCTTTAAATCAGATTATTTATATAAATAAAAGTTAGTGAGACAGGGAAAAAAGTCATCAAACTCCCCCAAACCCCACAGATACTTCTCAGAGACGGACAACAGGAACAAGGCTTTTCCCAATGTCTGGTCGCCCGTTAATACTGGACAGCCAACGGGAAACCCTCTGTGTTTATTCTCCACCCCGCCCACACCCGTCACCTTTCTGCAGCTGGCCAGGAGACATCATTCCTCATGTCTGTGGGCTCCTTCACGTTTCTCCCTAACCTCTCAACCCCCCAACAATTCTGTTGTCACCCTCATTTGTCAGAGCTGGAAATGAAGGCACAGAAACTGGGGAGCCAGGCTTCAACAGCAGTTTGGAGACATTCCCCATCCCCTGATCCTCTGGATCTTACTGGTTTAAACTGGGATCCGTGGCCAACAGGGTCTTGTGTATGCCTCCACACACACCTGCCCAGAAACAAACATCTCATAGTGCACAATTACTCCACCCTGTGCTGTGATATTTTCTATTCTATTTATTCTAGTCTAGTTCATAGAAAAGACAAAATGATGATCATGAGCCACAAAAGTGATTTCATGAGCCACTGGTCGCGCCTGCCCTTTGAAAACGCTGGGCCCCGCTGCCCTGCCTGGGTGGACTGGGGCCTGCTGCCTGTTAATACCCTGGGGAAGGGGAACCTTTGTCGTAGCCACCCTAGAAGGCAAGTAGGGCCAGGAAGGAAACTGAGGCCAGGGGAATTCTGGCCTCATCTTATCTTACACAGTAGAAGCATCAGAACTCAGCACCAGCAAGCTCTGCATTCCTTTTCTCGATGCATGTTTGTAACGAAATGATGTCTGGCCAGATACTTCAGTCATTGCCTTTCTATCCGCCCTACCTAGAAAGGGCTCCCAAAACTATAGCCAAAGAAAATAAAGTCAGAAGTCAAGTCAAGCCAGCCAGCGGGCATCTTCTCCCGAGGATCCTGGCACTGCCAGGCAGTTCCCAAAGACTGGTTTGTGAAGGTTGTTTTGCCAGAAAAATTCAAGTGACACTGAGCACAGAAAGAAAAGCATTGCAGAAACCAGGATTTACTGTGCATCATGGGCTAAGGGAGTGCCAGGGGACTCAACCATGGCCACAGCCCATCCTCGCATTTCCAGGGTCTCGCCTGTCGCCCACTTCCCTAAAGGGGCAGGGGCCACAGTTGATGGTGCTACAAGTCCTGCTTGAGTGGCAGGTCCAGAGAGACCAGGCCAGTATCTTCTGGGGAACAGCAGCTTCCTGATCTCCTCTCAGCTCCTCCCTTGGGTCATGGCTAAGGTCTCATCTTCTTTGAACCTCCCAGGGGCAGTTCAGAAATAGGGGTTAAGGACCAAGTGGGTTCCCAAGAGCAGTGACAGGTCTAGACTAAATACCCTGCAGCCCCTTTCCGTGACTAGGGCGGAGCTAAGAAGGCAGCCTGCGGAGCCACCCCTGTAACCTGGAGCAGAACCAGTGGTGGACACCTGGACTTCCTTTGTACCCCTCCCACTTTGCGGAAGAGAGTCCGAAGATGAACCTGGCTTCCGGAAATAGTTTATCAGAGAGCATCTGCAAACGTAGATTTCAATTTTTTTTTTCCTGGATGGAATTTCTTAACAACCAGAGCCCTGTCTTTTTGGCACCAAGGAAATGTTTTCAACCAAAGAGCAATTTCGCCGCAGATTTCCCGTTTACAACCGGGGTTGATGTGAACTAGCAGCCAGAATCGCTGTCATGATCAAACAGATTCTTTTTGTATGTTTAATAGATTCCTTTTGTTTGTACCAAAACAAAAAAGCCAGGTGCTTTTTAAACAGCCCAGTCTATTTTTTTTTTATTCCCCTAAGCTTTTAATGAGTTTAAAAGGTTAAGCAGAGCTGATTGTGTCTCTTTAAGGCCCCTTTCTGATGATGACGATGATGTGTGTGTATGTGTGTGTGTGTAAGAGAAAAGAGGGAAGGTTTGCTGTTACTAGTAAAGAAATACAATTGGATCCCAGCCTAATGCAGTTCGCCTTTGTTCCCACTCACTGAAGTCTTCATTAAAACCCAAGGCACTTCTCCCCGGAGCTGGTGACCTTTTTGTATTTAAAGGCGACTTTACAGGACTTAAATTCTTCTTCCTTTGTGGGCGAACAATGTTCTTTTCTTCTGAAAATGCACGACTATCGGTTCATTCAGAGGCTACAGGATTCAATGAAGAAAAGAAAGACCTGAGATTGAGTGACTTCAGGTGACTCCACCTTTGAGACCAGGAAAGATGCTTCCCAAATAAGGGTCTGGAGAAGAAGGGAGCTTGGGGGACACGTGAAAACAACAGTCTAGCTCCTGCTGAGTACAGATTTTAGGACAGGGGGGTTTCCTAGTTTGTGTCCCAAAAAGATTTAAGTGAGTGTTGAACTTTATGTTGTTCATTTTTAAGTATCTTGGCCCCTGGTTGGCTTAAGTGTCTGAAGCTGTTTAAAGGGTTGAGTTTCTCCCTAACATAATGGAGGCCTGGCCTGCAGACAATGCTTTCAAAAGGCCTAAAGTCTCCCGACTATCGGCTTACTACCCCAGATGCTCTCACTTAGACAAGCCACCCTGGGGTGACGTGCCAGCCACAGGGTGAGGAACAGCCAAACTTGCTACTGAATGGGGCGCAAAGGTTTAAAACTTTTAACTTGAGGATGATCAGAAACGAATTTGATACTCATCTTCTGATTTTATTGATGTGTTGAACACATGCATTTATTTCTTTTCCTAATTCTACCATGCTAGCTAACTGGAGGTTAAATAAAACCCATATTAAAAACTGTACCATCAGAGAAAGGGCACCAATGCTAATAAATTCGGTTGTCTGTTCCTCCCATTGATCTCCACACTGAAATCTTCTGCCTGCCAGCAAACGTTTTTACAGCCCTTTTTATTTATAAGCCTAGTTTGTGAACTTCAGTGCATGGAGGTGGGCACTTTAAATAATAATACCTATCAGAACTGAAAATTAGCTTGACCCTTATCTCCTTTCTCAGTGTGTGTCTGCTGTGAATGCTTTTATGACCTTCTGAAGATAATATTAGGGCTTTTTATTTGGCAGGTGCATAAAGGAAGTGAGCACCATGTGTAGTATATGTTGGCGTAGTAAAACAACCATTGTGAACAAATTGCCTGCTGGTTTTAAAGAAAATATAGCTTCAACCAGTTAATGTTTCATTAAATCATTCTCCTTGTTCAACAAGTCTTGATGAAATTTTCCTTATGAAATATATATCCAGCGTGTTGTAACAAAGAAAATTGCTCTTTTATTTTCTTCTAATATTGCTAAATAAACATGAGAGATTGCCCAATATTCTCTTTAATTGGCAGTATAGATTTAATAGAGACCCTTATTTTAGTGAACAGTGATCTGGAGATAGTCAAGCCTCCCAAGGGCCTTCTGCTGAGGCTGACATTTAGAACACAAGATAGAGCAGGTATTTGTGTTCTGCATGGCCTGTGAAGGGTCTCTGACTGGTCTTCAGGTGTGTCCATGTGAAGGAGCCTCCTAAAGGAGAAGGTGTGGCTGAGACAGGCGGGAGGACCTGGTCAGGAGACGGGGCACTGGACCAGACTGTGCTTTCCCATGACTGTTCACAGATAGCGCCATTCTACTGTGCTAATCATGAACATTTTATCATGAACCAGGCTGCTCAGGACAGGGCATCGAGAGTCTAGGAGGTTGTGCCCGAGTCTAGACCTGACATTGGCTGTGTGGGGTTTTGCTGTCCGAGAGGAGCCTGATGGTAACTTCAGCTATCCTGGACAAGGAAAATGACCTGTCTTTAGTATAGACAACGAGGCCGTCTCTCGCTTCTCTCATGGCTGACTCCTTGACCATGTTTACCTCTGGAGCTCCTCGTACATTCATCCTTAGAGCCCCTCAGTTGGGGTCCGTGAGTGACATAGCGGCCGTGGCGTTGAGCCTTTGTGGTGCGTGAGGAGAGCATCAGAGAGAGAAGGATGGTAGATGGTGGCATGCCCTCTGGGCCTCGTGTAAGCAGGAGCAGAGTCAGCTGCTCTCCTGGAGTCTCTGAGCTGATCGTGACTCGTGTGTGCGTATGCGTGTGTGTGCGTTGTGTGTGTGTGTGTTAGAGTGCATGGGTGTGTGTGTGTGCATGCACTCACACGCGCACGAGAGGGCGTATGTGTGTCTGTCTCTGTGTGTGTTTTAAATCTGAAGCCAGTGGAATGACGTTTATTCCGGATAAATTCCCGCCATATGTAGGCAGCTACTTAGTCTCTCTTAAATTCTGTAATTTTAAGCATAACCTTAGATAAGCCTTTTGTGTTCAGTTCAATTCAATAGCCATTTTCAGATTTCTTAAGGTAGCCCAATCAACTTTGCACAAATAAAATAGAATGATAGTGTCATTTAGCTTGGGGATTTTGCTGAGGGGTACATATTTGGGAGTGGTACACCACTAAACTTGTACATCCACATTTTCCTGTCGCCAGTCTAAAATTTAGAGGCAGGTGAAGAAAAGTCTCCTTCTTCTTTCTCTTCCTCCTCCTCTGTCTTATAAGCGTTAAAGTCCCTGCCTCAAGGCTGGGTGACTTCTTACATTTATAGCCCGAGTGCAGTTTTCCAGGACCTGTGGAAGAATCATGGCTTCTCGATTTCCATATCTATGCCTTTCACTGAGAACAGCCAATTGGCCTCTTCTCCTCTATGCATGTCTAGGTTATGAGATTGATAGGCTCTTCTAGTAGAAAATCCGCACAGCCTTCCTAAGCCTACCTAGAAGGTGCTCCCTTGAAATCTAGAAGGCGGCCTGTGATGCAGGAGCAGTTTCCCTGTGGGCTCCTCCTGAAACAGGAGGATGGAAGATGTGTTGCCACCCTAGCTTCACAATGGGTTTCAGGTGACCTTGCCCTTGAAGGTAATGAGGTTGCATTCAGACAGGTAACCCTGATGCCCAGGCAAGGTGGTGTGGGGACGGGCTGATGCAACCTCAGGGGCCATCCCCATCCAGTGTCACTGGCCCCATTAGCTGGTGTCCTCTTTGAACAAAGAATAGAACGCGTCCTGACAGGATTCAAAGAGATTCCGATCCCAGAAGACGCTTTATCAAAGGAGAAAATACAGAACAGTTTTCACCTCAAGCACAAACTTTAACTAATCATGCTAATTCTTGTTTTCCAGAATCCTAATCAGGATTGGCAAGTCATTTTTATAGTTCGGTTGATGTCATGTTACTCAAATAAATATATCTGTGTTTACTTCCAGGAAAGCTCTCAGCAACAGGAACTCCCCTTTTCCCTCATTCTCTCCTTAAAATGGCACCCCGCCATGGTTTCTTTTGCTAGAGTTCAGAGCTCCAAGAAGACATTTTAGGTCACATTTTTGTAGGAGGGGAAATTAAAATAGAGATGACCTCTGGTAAATAAGTGTGTGAAACCTTAGAACTGGTGATTGTAGTGAGCTTTGGTGCGTTCGTTCGCCTGTCTTTTCTGCTCTGAAAGTCGGATGCCATTCACTCTTCTGGGCTTTTAGGAACCTGTTCTGTTCACTGGGACAATGCGGAAGAACCTGGACCCCTTCAATGAGCACACTGATGAGGAGCTGTGGAACGCCTTAGAAGAGGTAAGCGATCTCCTTCATCACGGATGTGATGCGTATGTGCCTGTGTTCAGAGCAAGCCTTTCATGGGAGCTGGTGGGAGCTCATGGCTCTTTATTTGACCCCTCGGGGAGCATTCATGAGCTGGGTGGGTGTAGAGTATGTATTGATGATGGCAATCCAAAATAATATACCTCGTGTTGCTCCAAAAGCTGGCTCAGTCAATACATGATCTTACTTGTCCTTCACAGAGCTCAAACTCCCCTAGTGACTAAGTAGCCTGAGCCACTATTGTGAGAAGTCTCCCCCGGGGCAGACGCATAAAAAATATCTACCCACTCGGTATTCATATAGTCCCAAGACTAAAACTGAGTTCATTTCCACCGAAGATCCCCCTGGGGAACCATTGGTTTATTAGGTCACTTACAGAGCATGGATGAGAATGTTGCAGGCAGAAGTATGGGTGACCCCGCAACAGCCACTAACATCTGGAACATCTGTCTCTAACGTGGGCGGTGGCTTTGTAGAGCGAGTCCCCTGTCCACGAACCTTCTCCTGTCTACTCTAGCTCCTCCCTGAGACCCCCAAGTCCATGTGCAGGGCCGAGGCCGGTCAGGGCAGAATTGCATACAGGTGAACAGAAGGTGTGACTGTGACAGTCTAGTGGCCCTCGCCGTCTACTCCTGCGGGAGAATGTCAGTGGTCCACGGCTGTCTTGCCCGACTCCCGGAAGTCCGCACAGCTGACATGATGAAGACTGGCAGTTCTGCTCCGAAGGCGCAGACTGCCACAGCCCTTCACCCCACCGCTCCGTTTTAGGGGAGCATCTAGGAAAATGAGGCACTTGTTTTCATTACTAACAGAACAAAAAGTGAGATCATACTTACACGGCGCTTCGGAGCCTCCTAAGGAGGTGTTTGTGAGGGCAAATTACACAGACTACAGGAGTGATACTTACTGACAACCCTGTCATTGTGACGCCACAGGGAGTCCAGCTCGCAGACTCCTGGAGCCTTGGCTACGTTTCTGTATTGGTACCTTTAATCTGGGAGGATTTTCTTATTATTTGTGTAGCGCGTCCCTGCAGACCACTTCTTGGGGATTCCTTTCCCACACAGGCGAGGATTTTGACCATTAAGTTGCTTCTGGTCTATATGTTTAGAGATAATTATTTTGCAAGTTCCCTCTAGTTCTGCAAATTAATTGTAAGCTGCTTAATAATAGAAATCATAGCTTAGACCACAATCCCTCCTAAGACCTAGCTTGGTTTTAATTTTAAAAAGTAAGCATTTAATCAATATGTGAGCATGGCTTATTTCTTAAAAAAACAAAAACTAGAAAACACAAAACCTCAGGGATCAGCGGTTAATGTTTTGAGGTAGCTCACTCGTCCCTGTCACCCTTTCAGGTACGCTCTGAAATCTTTAGCTTAAGATGGGTTCTGACTGTGGGCACACCAGTTTGGAGGTCTGGCAGCTTCCTGCCAGTAGTTACTGCTTCTGAAGACATGTCAGTGCCAAGTCATTACACACCCACCCCGCTTCCCAGCAGCTGCGGGGACTTTGTTTTCCCAGCTTGGGCCAGCCACCTTCTTCTCCAAGTCCAACCAGAATGGTGGCTGGTCTCCGGTTTCATCCATCTGTGAGATTTTTCTGTAGGAAAATTCTAAGAAGATGTAGGGAAAGAACAGTTACACACTGGAGATCACAGAGGATGGAAAGACAGGACGAAGCAACAGCAAGCCTGTGACACACCCTGAGAAAACAGGAATTACTAGTAAATCATTTTTTCTCTTCGCTTCAGAGCTTAAATTTCTCTTCAGAGATTCTCAGATAGTAAAATCACTTTAGAAATACATCGTTCCATGAGCAGTGAAGAAATGCTAATTGAGACCCAGTCCCATCCAAAGGCATCTTCAAACTTGGGTGCCTGACACCTATTTTCGTCTGTTATAGACAAAATGAATTTTTTGTAGCTTCTCGCGTACAACAAAAGAGGTGGCAGAAGCGTCGGACAGTCCTGAGGGTCGCCTGTGTTCATGCTCCACCTGAGGCTGCTGTAAACAGAAATGAGAAAAGACACAGACAGACCAGAGTTCCAGCATGGCGGGGGTCTGCACCCTGTTTCTGGGTTTCCTTGTGCATCAGGAGAGACATACGGCATTACCCCGTCGTGGGTTTTCTTTAGCAACGCTTTGCCTTGCTAATATTTTTAAAAAGCAGAGTAGGATATTTTCTAAACATTAGAATCAATATTGTATTTATGATATAGTTTCAGCTGCCTGTGTGGGGGATACGCTGGAAGTGACTGTGTGTGTTTGTGTGTGTGAGTGTGCATGTGTCTGAGGAGGTACACTGGAAGCGAGCGGGTGCGCGCATGCACGTGTGCATGTGTGTGTGTGTGTCTGGGGAGGTATGCTGGAAGTGACTGTGTGTGTGTGTGTGTGTGTGTGTCTGAGGAGGTACACTGGAAGCGAGCGTGTGCGTGTATGTGTCTGGGGAAGGTAAGCTGGAAGCAAGTGTTTGTGTGAGTGTGTGTGTGTCTGAGGAGGTACGCTGGAAGCGAGCGTGTGCGTGTGTGTGTCTGAGGAGGTACGCTGGAAGCGAGCGTGTGCGTGTGTGTGTGTGTCTGGGGAAGGTAAGCTGGAAGCAAGTGTGTGTGTGAGTGTGTGTACATGTGTCTGAGGAGGTACACTGGAAGCGAGTGTGTGCATCTGTGTGTGCACGTGTGCATGTGTGTGTGTGTCTGGGGAGATACACTGGAAGCAACCAGGCCGGTTCCCTGGATTGCCGTATTCCATTCTCTCTGTGGCGTCGTCTTTACAGTGTTACTAAACCAGAGCAAATTCTGCCCTGTGAATGGTAGGAAAGCTGATGGCCTTGGCTGTTCTTGTTAGACTAAAACCTGACTGAGGGTCTATGGACTTAAGGATAACCTGTGTAAGAAAGAGAGAGACAGAGAGACAGAGAGAGACAGAGGGGGGGAGGGAGGGAGGAGGAGGAACCAAAGAACACCCGACCCTTTTGTCAATGATGTGAATGCAGATGGGAGCCCAAGCCCATGGAGTTCACGTGAGGATCTTTCAGAGAGCACTGTCATCTCTAACAACCTCAAGTAGAAAGAACTGTGTTTTTAAAGCCCGCCTATTTCTTACTAATACCCGAGGGGGTAAAAAACAAATTTGTCTTTCAGAAGAGAGACTATCTTATGAATATTGTTCATTTTGTTTTTTTTTTAACTTTCTGGATGTACTGAAAGTTCCCTCTGAATAAAAGCTAATAACAGAAGAAATGTTGCTGCTATTAGTATCTACTAGAGCGTCCAGGAAGCAGCAGCAGCTCAACAAGAAGACAGAGGTGGTCGCTAGCGATGGAACCTGCCGTTTGCTCACAGCAGTTAAAACCAGCAGCGCATCAGCCCTGCATTGTTTCTGTTGTAAATAGCATGGACCCCAGGACAGACGGTGAAGAATAGGCTGGGTCTGCAGGTGTGTCCTCATGGACGGTGTCTGTTAGGATGCCGTGCATCTCCCTGGCGCATGAATTCTAATTGTCTTTAATAATAAAAACCCGGAGTCAGATATTAGTGGGGGAAACTAGTGAGAGCTCAGAGAAGCAGAGCGACCAGCCACTAGAGAGACCTTTTACCAGTGCTCCGACTGGAGGGGCAGTCCTGTTTCTGTGATTCCTCAGAGTGCGTCTTCAGCCTGCACTGAGCTCCTGTCTCCTCCTGCCTCATATTCCTCTCTCCACCCAGCCCTATCACTTCCTGTCTCCACCTCCCTAGTGCTGGGATTAAAGCTGTGAGCTGCTACCACTTGGCTCTGTTTCTCTTTTAGACTAATTCAATCTGGTTTATCCCAGGGTGGCCTTGAACTTACAGCGGTCAGTCCGTCTCTGTCTCCCAAGTTCTGGGATTAAAAGTGTACGCCAACACTGCCTGGCTTCTGTGGCTAACTCATGGCTTAGCTCTGCGCTCTGATCCTCAGGGAAGCTTTATTTGTCGGAACACAAACAAAATATCACTACAGGAGACCATGGCAAAGGCACGTGAGCACCCATCAGGAAGTATGTGACTTAGCGCTTTTCCACGCATGGCCTTATCCGTGGATTTCCTGGACTGGGCTCTATTGTGGCTTCATTCAGTGATCGCATCTCGGGCTCTCTTTCCAACCACAGCAGCCTTTCTTGATGTAACGTCAGTAAGTCTGTCTGTTGCTTTTCTGTTGCTGTGACTGGACACCCGGATGAGAGCATCTTGGGGAAGAGAGGGCTCGCTCTGGCTTATTGTTCCAGAGGGATAAAATCTGTCGTGGCAAGGGAGGCATGGAACAGACAGCAGGAAGCTGGCCCCTCACATTTCCGTCCACACACAGGGGGTGGAAAGAAAGGTAACAGGAATTGGGAGGAGGCTATACGCCCTCAAAGCCCACCCCAGTGACCTCCTCCACCAAGACTGCACCTCCTAAAGGTTCCATGGCCTCCCTAGACAGCAACACTGACTGGGGACCACTCAAACACGTGAGCCTATAAGGGACATTTCTCATTCAAATTACCATAGCAAGTTTCAAAGAGAGGGAAGCAGAGGCTAACACCCCTATCAATCTGCAAAGGATTCTGGAATGTCTTCCATGCGATACGCATAGTAGGGAAGATGGTTGTAATGATAACTTCAGAGAATTTATGAGCACTATCAATTTTGTGTATTTCATTGTTTTTCCAAACTTATATAATATGAACTATTTTGTACTTAAATAAACAGTTTAGAATACTATAATTGGATCAACTTTCCTGAAATCACAGTTTTAAGATGCTTTCCATATTTTAAGTGTGACTATTATGATATCCTGGGACCAATTAACGTTTATAAGCCATATGTTTCTTTTGCAATGCCATGTAATGTGATTGCATTCTATATAAAGTATATATATCCATATGAATTCATTCTCTAACCTGTAGACACAGATATGGACGAGACATTCTTCTGACTCATCATGTGTTTTGGACAGTCCTTTATTGAGAGCGTGCTATGTAGGCATCGTAGATTCTTAAGCTATTACAGTAATCATCAAGATAGGCAGAACACTCCCACTTGGAGCTGGAATTCTTGTGGAGAAGTTGGGACATCAGTAAATGGTTATGCATTCAAAATGCAGACTAGTCAGTGCAATAAACCTCAGAACATGAAGAGAGCCGGGTGACGGCATTGTTAGTAATAGGTAACGCCGATTGATCTCTTTGTAGCAGGCGTTGCTGTAAATACTTACTTGTGGTGACTCATTTTCTATCCCAGCAGGCAGTGTTTGGAGATAGACATCTGGGCTATGATAACATTGTGTTTCGTTTGCAGGTAAGAAAGCTGAGACAGGGAAAAGTCAGGAATTCGCCATTGGCAGAGCCAGGTGGAACTTAAGCTCAGGCTTTTACTTTTTTTCCTGGTTTTTCAAGACAGGGTTTTTACGTGGCTTTGGAGCCTGTTCTCACATTCACTCTGTAGACCAGTCTGGCCTCGAACTCCCAGAGATCCGCCTGCCTTTGCCTCCTGAGTGCTGGGAATAATGGCGTGCACTACCACCACCCGGCTAGGTTTACGTTTTTCAGTTTACAAATTTAAAATCTGGGCTAGAGAGATAGCTCGGTTGACAAAGGACTTGCCTTACAAGCTTGGGGATGTCAGTTTGAGCCCCAGAGCCCACTCATCAATATGTTGCTCTCTGAATAAAGTGTATGGATGGACCCTTTGTTCTGAAACTCTCAAGGATAGTCCAAATTTGGCCTTCGTTCTGTAAAATTTCTCCAGGAGCAAATATTCATAGGACTGAACCACAACCCAGTGATGTAGTCTGATGTCTTATTATTCAACTTATTATTCAAGTTTTCAAAGCTAGATTACTAGAAGTATATCATAGACAGGCAATAAGGTATTGCATTGTCCTTTCCGTGGGTTGTCATTCACTGTGGAATATCACTGTGGTTAAAGTAGGTGCATGTGTTAGCTTCAGTGATGGGAGACTGAACTTAGGAAGGGACGTGCTCCGGGGGTCCTGACACTGAATAAGTAGTTCCCAATTGTTTGAGCTTTTGAAGGCTTTTGTGGTTGATAAAACCTTCCAGGATGGCAGGGTACCTACGACATTCTTTCTTCAGAGGGCTGTGCGGAATTCCTACTTAGCTCCTGTGCAGAATGTCTCTTGGGGGACTTGACTGTAGTGATCCTGTTTTTCATTTTCTATTGTACATCTTCTATGTGGAAAGAGCTTCATTTCTGAGAGACTTCCATGATTTCTGGAGAAAGGTCCTGAGTGGGTGTCATGTGACTGGAAGGAAGTTAGGGTGATGGGGTGGGTGGCTCTGAAGTGCACCAGTTTCATGGAGGTACAACTTCTTTAATAGCAAGTGGTCCCTGCAGCAGTGTGCTTCAGTGATTTTGATAAATCTGTAGAGGTTTGGGTCATCAGAGTGATGAGGGGTTTAGAGGGTTCTTTCAACTCGGTGTAGCCAACCTCCCACGCGCTGTGCAATTGCTACTCTGTCCTGGTTTTCGTCTCTCTACACTCCTGTAGGTTTCTCTTAACTAACCAATAAAAAGGGACATTCTCAGGCTTGTAGAGCTGGTTCATCGGTTAAGAACATTTGTTGCTGTTGCAGAGAACCCATGTTCTTTTCCACAACAGGGGGCTCACAATCACCTGTAACTACAGCTCCAGGGGATCCGATGCCCTCTTTGGGCCTCTCCGGGAACCTTCCTTTACATGCATGTAACTGTACACACACATACAATTTGAAAGTAAAATTAAATCATTGTGAAGGTATATTCTCTGTCTTGCTATATTTTACCAAGGAAGTATTTACAGGCACAACCGGCACTAACTCATGACCCAGAACCAGCAGGCAACGCTCATCAGTGGTGGATGTCATCATCGTGAGACTTCCGGGAAGAAGTCCGGCAGAGTTCTGGAGTTGAAGGGATTTGTTTAATAGTTTATTTATGAACATACCATTCTTCTGTCTGCATCTATAGGTACAACTTAAAGAGGCCATTGAAGACCTCCCTGGTAAAATGGATACTGAATTAGCAGAATCCGGATCAAATTTTAGTGTTGGACAGAGACAATTAGTGTGCCTCGCGAGGGCGATTCTGAAGAAAAATCGGATATTGATCATCGATGAAGCAACAGCAAATGTGGATCCGAGGTACAGAGCTAAAGTGGTCGTGGTGGGTCGAACCTGAATTCTCACTCTGGCCCCAGGGAAGGATTTGATGGTACTGAGGAATGTGTCTGGGTGTGTCTGCCCTTCAGATGGGAGACACACTGCAGCGTCACGCACAGAATTACTTACACAGTTACAAAATCGTCTTCTGCCTGTGTGTATCCCATTACGTGCACGCAAATATACCAGAGTTCAGAACCTAAGGCCCTTTTGACTCCAAGCATTGCAGAAAGGGGATGCTCAGCCTGTATTCTAGGCCTTCTGAGTAAATTAGATTCCCAAATTCCAGTTCTGTGTCAAACATTGGAGAGAGAATCATTTGCAGTTTTTCTAAGTTGACTTTTTAGATTTTAGGGTTTTTTTGGGGGGGAGGGGAGAAGGTGTGGCTTTGCATGCCTGTAATCCTAGCATGTGGCAGCTTCATGTAGGCTCTGGGTTTCAAAGTCACCTGAATGACATAGTGAGTTCAAAGCTAGCCTGAGCTGTCTGTCTAATAATAACATTAACAACAACAACAACAATAAGCGGATTTTAACAACATTCTTAAGAGTAATGTGATCTTTTAAGTCTCTACCCGTCTTTGCTGAATTAAATGTGACGTCTGTGGTTCCAGAACTGATGAGCTAATACAACAGAAGATCCGGGAGAAGTTCGCCCAGTGCACTGTGCTTACCATTGCTCACAGACTGAACACTATCATAGACAGTGACAAGATAATGGTGAGTCCTCCCCCAGTGGCAACCGTGTGTGCGTCCTCTTCCTGTTCATCCTCCCTTGAACAGGCTGAGAGCTAACCAGTCAGTCAGTAAGGTAAGGCTTGGTCCATTTTTCTGTTATTTCCAGTAGCACTCACTCGGTGCTACAGACAGTCTACCTTTGTGTACTCCTTCATATACTTCTATTTTAAGTATGCTTAAGTAGATTTTCAGGACCATTTAAATATGAATGGAAATGTCCCAAACCTAGGCCCTGTGCTCATGGGCCATATACAAAACTTTCTGAGCGGAAAAGACAACACCCCCCACAAGTTTTTGCCTCAGGTTTCTGCGCGGGTTTACGCGCAGTGAGTTACGATATTGTTTCAGACTCCAGAGTAGGAGGGCCGTGTCATTGTGTGCATGTCACCTTGTTTTGGCTTCTCGTGACCAAATGCTAATCTCTCTGGAGCTGAAGGAATGACTCCATAGTTATGAGCACTGTACTGGCTAGTGTTTGTCACAGAGTACTCTAACCTTGGTACATCGTCACCCGTATGTAAAGAAATAGGTAGATGGAAGTTCTGTCCCACCTAGTTCCACAGCCGTTCAGTCCCAAAGAAACACAGAGGCTTATGTTAATTATAAACTGTTTGACCCATTAGCTCAGGCTTATTACTAACTAGCTCTTACAGCTTACATTAACCCATAGTTCTTGTCTGTGTTAGCCATGTGGCTTGGTACCTTTTCTCAGTGAGGCATTCTCATCTTCCTTCCTCTGCATCTGGCTGGTGACTGCATCTGCCTTTCCTCTTCCCAGAATTCTCCTAGTCTGGTCATCCCGCCTGTACTTCCTGGCTGACTACTGGCCAATCAGCATTTTGTTAAACCAATCTGAGTGACAAAACTTTACAGTGTGCAAGCACATTTTCCCACAGCAGTCATAGGAAGGCTGAGAGTGTGAAAGAAATCACTTGTGTGGTTATTTGGGAAAGGCTGTGCTAGTTTGCTTCCTATTGCTCTAATAAGCACGATGACCAGAAGCAACATGGGAATAAAGGGTTTATTTACATCTTACAACTTCACAGTTCACCACCGGGGAAAACCCGCGCAGAAACCTGAGGCAAAAACTTGTGGGGGGCGTTGTCTTTTCCGCTCAGAAAGTTTTGTATATGGCCCATGAGCACAGGCAGAGGGAACCCTCTAGGAGACAGACTTTGGTAAATCAGTTCAACTTTATTCCAGAGTAAAAGGAATATATAGGATTGAGGAACCTGGGGACAAACCCTAATTTGTACTAAGTGGCTTGCTGCTATCACAAGGCTGAGTATGTGGCAGTCAGGTCCAATCTCAGAGTCCCTAGTACCAGTCTTCCCAGCAGGGGTCTGTGCCAAGGGTCAAGCTAAAGATGAATCAGGCATCTTGTTTAGAGACAGATCTTGGATAAGGGTAGTCCTCCAGGCCCAGGGACATCCTCCAGACAAGAGCAGGTAGAGAGCAGGAAGTCTTGCTGGGGAGGGAGGGCATTTCCCTATTGCCAAGCTTAGAGAAAGCTGCCAGGCTATGGTGAACTGCGACCTCTCACCAGCCAACATATTCCGACAGACACTGAAGCAGAGGCTGTAGAAGAAGGGTTCTTGCTGGCTTGTTCCCCATGGCTTCCTCGGCCTGCTTTCTTACACACCCAGAACCATCTGCTTGGCCAGTAGATGCTGGGCATGTGGATATGTTCTGTTCCATGGGGCTCACCTGCCATCAGCAGGGAAGGACAGATCTCGCAGAAATGTCAACTGGTCACTGCTAAATCTTTCAATCACTATTTGACCCACAGTTGTGAACATCTCGTTCACGAGTCGCCCCTTCGCCACTCACCTCTGTTGTCACTGGCCACAGGGTTTAGTGTTTTGCTCAATAGTGTCTCCTGCTAAATCTTCAGAGTCAGAGTTTTTTTCTCTCATTATCTATGTCTAAATCGTTAGCGTGGTTTGACAAAGCAGGTTATATAATCTGGCCTGCCCTTCCCTTCCTAGCCTCACCCCACTGCATGATCCTCTCTCTGCTATGGGTGAAGCCACGGTGGTGTTTGCTTTGTCCGTGTGTGTGTGTCTGTCTGTCTGTCTGTCTGTCTGCTATCTTTCTGGCAATTGTGTGCTTGTCCTCTCCTGAACGTTGGCTGCATAGACTGAGACGCTATCAATGAAAAGCACAGGGAATGGGTTTGGGAGAAATTGCAAGGGGTGTGACTAGATATGACAGATAAAGTATGAGAAGAGAGAGGAGTCCGACCACGTTGGTTTTCATGGATGAGACCTGGGGAGAAGACTTGGAAGAGGGTTCTTTGAGCAGGTGACCTCGCCTGTCCCTGTGGCACTGCCCCTCCTACTCAGAACTCTAATATGGGGAAGTCTTCAGTGTAGAGTTTGCTGGCCACAGGCTCAAAAGCAGTATCAGAGGAGATCCACCGGGATTTGCAAGTGTGGTCAGTTGAGCAGCTTTCTGTAAGGATGACACAGGCTCCCAACTCAGGGGACCCAAAAGATGTGCAGCCTGTACTTTCAGAGATGGGGTCTTAGCTTCTGCTCTGTTCATCCAGGTTGTTGTATTCTAGTACTTCTGTTCACACCTCAACTTTCAGTTCAGTCGAACACCAGTGTGTCTGCCAGCTCTGTCGCTGTGACAAAACACTGAAGATCATCAGATTTTTTTAAATGAAAGATTTGATTTGGCGGCAGATTTGTAAGATCCCGTCTGATTGTCTGGTTCCGTGAAGCACTGCATCATAGGGGGATGTGCAGCCAAGCAGAGCTCTCTGCCCATGGCCAGGGTGCAGAAGAGCAAGGGAGGAGCCAAGATCCCCCACTCCCCTCGAGGGGCACACCCCCAATGTCCTAACCTTCCCTGATAGTGCCCACCTCCAAAAGGTTCTACTGAACCCAATTAACACCACCCTGGTCAAAGTTTGAGGCTGTTTTTGCCCTAAAAGTACCTGCTCCTTTTCTAGAAAACACGCTTTCTGTTTTGTTGCTCTACCGCCTTAAAGACGCACACAGGTGTCTTAGTCACTGCTTTGTTGTTGTGTAGACAGTTTTAGAGGCTAGTCCACGCTCATCTTGATGCTGGAGCGGTAGCTGAGACCTTTACATCCTGGTATGCAGGCAGAGGGGGACGATACTGGGCTTGGTGTGGACCTTTGAAACCTCAGTAACACACGTCTTCCAACAAGGCCACACCTCCTAATCCTTCCCAAATAGTTCCACTAACAAGGACCCAGCATTCAAGCATAGGAGCCAGTGGGGGCCATTCTCACTCAAACTGTCACATCATGTCAACCACCTGCACAGCCCCATGCACCAGAGAGCAGGATCCAGGCTCAGGGAGTGGCCAGGGAAGGGATGCTGCCGAAGGCCAGAAGCAGTAGCGTGTCCCCGTGAAGTTATGCGATTACAAGTGATTAATGTGTAATAATTACATTTCATTGCTTCGGTGAATATGCCACAAAGGCGGATGGGTATGGCTGTGTTTACTGTAAGTGAATCCAACAAAAGGCTTGTTGGGAAACGGCTGTGACCTAATTAATGGCTTTGTTTATGTATTGGCTCTCCAGAGGGATTCTTAACCAGTTTTGGTTCATTAAGCACCGTTAATGTGTTAGGCTTAGAATCCTATTCTATGAAGATGTTCTTCCCACTCTAACTTTATTAAGCGCGTTGTAGTCTTTATGACAGCTAATTTAATCACACTCATTTGCCCAGTTTCCACAAAACAACGGAGCAGGGCAGACAATTAGCCTTCTTCTCCCGAGGCTCAGCACTATCTCCACATTAAAAGCAGCTTCCTCCCTCTTGTGGGTTTTTTCTTTTTTTTTAGGATTAACTGGGTACCTGACATCTGCCTTCCCTTCCACCAATAGCAGTGTTCCCTTCCGGTCCCTGCATACCTCTGTCCTCACAGCTCTGTGGGTTCTCCTAGTAGCAAGAGAGAGAGAGAGAGAGAGAGATGTTTGGAAAGGGCCACAGCTATCACCCCTGCCTGTGTGAGCCACCCCCTCTAGCAGCAGTCAGGGAATTCTTGGGGAATTAAATGGTAGAGAACCGCAGGCTCAGAGACTCGGCCTGTGGCTCCTTGTTGACAGGCCACACTGTGGTCTTGTAATCTTTACCTTTCTTCGTAGTTGTTTTCCCAGAGAAGATAAGGCCAGTCGCCGTAGTAACACACCCCACTAGGAAAGCAGACCACTGGTGACTAACTGGACTTTTATTCAGCTCTGTTTTTGAACCTTTGGGGAACTTTTTTGATAAGCCTACTTGGTCAAAATTAGGTCATTGAAGAAGAAAAGAGAGAAAACAAAAAAGATGTTCCTTCAAAAATGTGCTTACAGTTTCAGGTCAAGTGTTCTAACTAACTTGGAAGCTCGGATTCCAGGAGAAGAAATGTGAGGGGGGGGGGGGGGAGGCAGTGAAGACCAAGGTTTACTTCCTTGTTGTGCAGAATAGAAAAGTCGTCCTTTTGATTTACTACCTTACTCTTTTGTATGGGAGAGACCTATATTTTATAATTGCAGTATCTTTTTCCTTTTGTTAATGTCGGAAGGCGTGGTTATGCCCTATGGATAAAGTGGATTAAATTATTTTGAAACGGGACCATCTCGTTTTCACATCTGGGACGACAACTGCCTGGACTGCAGAGATGTAGGTCTGATAACGCGGCTCCAATGAGCTTATGTAACTGCTTGGCTCATCCAGGAGAATCTCTCAGTCCTTAACCTGCGGGATGGCAGTGGGCATGTTGAAGTCGTTCTGGAGAGACGTAGGGTTGAGGCATTGCTGTCACATAAGTGTTAATGTGTGGTTTGGTTTACAGTTTACTTGGGCCCAGGAAGGGAAGGGTCTAAGCAGAATGTGCCGGGAGAATGGTCTTACAAAACACATTAAGAGAAATATGGAAATTGCACTTTTTTTCTGTTCGGGGAGAGCCATGTCGAGTGGCTTTCCGATTGTTTATTCTGGAAAATCTAGACCCTTGGTCACATTGTCCACATAGTGACTGAGGATACAAAGTTCTCTTCCTGGCTCCCCCGCCCCATGTGCACCCCAACTTCCACTCCAGCAACTGCCTGACCCTCCTTTTTTCTCCTCCCCGGTATATAACAGAGTCGGTGCCTTGAGTCCTCGTGTCCTTCCTTCTAAGCTCCGTCTTGCCCACAGCTGTCGGTTTGAAGCGTGTGGAACTCTTGAGTCCTTCTCTCCCGTCCTCTGATCCCACTGCCCTGCCTCGTGGCTCTCAGAGATCTCTGCCCCCTTTCTCCTCCTGTCTTCGCACGTCGCCCACCCCTGAATGTGACCCTGAGATTTCACGTCCCCTGCGCATTGAAAAGGAGGTCCTTGTGGGTAGTGCCAGCCCCTGGTGACACGACAGTGAGCTAGAGGCAAGCCTGCCCTGGGATGGGTGGCAGTGCTCATGTTGTGTCCAGATCTGCTTACTGGTCCAGCCTGCTCCTCTGCTCTGTCCTCAATAACACTCTTCCTCAGAGCCTGATGCTGTCAGCTCCAGCTTCCATGTCATGCTGGGTGTGTGTGTGTGTGTGTGGTGTGTGTGTGTGTGTGGTGCTGTTGTTTTGTTTTGATATCTTTTGTGATGGTTGCTTGAATGTTTTCTTTTTTTTGCCTGTTTTGGTGAAAGGCTCTGTGAAGGCTGGGTGGAGACCTGTCTTTTCCTCTTCCACAGTAACTAGCTTAATGACATGGATGCGGTAAGTGTGTGATCAAAACGTGCTGAGTAAATACACAGTAAATAAGGTCACCTGAATTGGCTCCCAGTATGTTTTGGCTGTACCTTACTCTTTCCTTATTAATCCTGAAAATTAAATTAGAACGAAAGTTGGTTTTCTTCACTGGGGACTGTATGCCAGGCACACAGTATATAGTGTAGAACCTGAATCTTCAGCAGGATAAAATTGCCATGGAGAGTGGACAGGTGACATGTTTCTGCCTATAAGGATATATTTTTGAGTCAGTTAAAGTTATCATGTCCAAATGAAAAGGTATCTTAGAAATGTAATTGTTTTACTTTCTCTTTGCTATTTTTTTTTCTCTTTATATCTGACAATAAATGTTTTGTACTGGAAACCGAAGTGGGCTAGCCATCTCGTTCACCTCCAAGTCTCCACTCCTCGGATGGTGCTGTCACAGAACGGGCGGGCGAAAGGGAGATGCTGGCCTATTTGTCTCATTTGTTTGGGGAGTCAATGGTGATGATGTTAGAAGCCATGAGTAGTCGAGCCTTTTCAAGTGTAGAGATTGAGACTGGAATGTAGTTCAGTTGTCGGAGTTCTTACGTAGCACGCACCAAGTGCTGGGTGTGATCTCCCCGAACCATGCGAACCAACTGTGACGGCTCACATGTGTAACCTGAGCATCGGAGAGATAAGGGTAGAAGGACATAGCAACTCGAAGTCCAAGGTGTGAGGCCCTACCTTGGTCTACAGAAGACCCGGTTTTTGTTGTTTTTATTTGGTTACTAATTTTGTGTGTGTGGTGTTTTCCCCGCGTGAATGTCTGTGTACCGCAGGCTTTCCTGGTGCCTGTGGAGGCCAGAAGAGGCAGTGGATCCACCACAGTTGGAGTTGTGGACAACTGTGAGCTGCCATGTGGGTGCCTGGGATTAAACTGGAGTCCATGGGAGCTTGTACTCCTGACCACCAAACCACCTCTCCAGGCCGGACTCTGCCCTTTACAAACCAAGCAAAAACGTCCTGTGCAGAAATGGCCTTTGTCATTGGTCTCATTGACACATATCAGGGTGTGCCGTCCCCCGACTCTTAGTTCATCACCGTGTGTGTGTGTGTGTGTGTGTGTGTGTGTGTGTGTGTGTGACCCCATGTTGGTGCTGAGAACCAACGGGGATCCTCTGCAAGGGTTGTGAATGCTCCTGACCACTGAGTCAATGTCTTCAGACACAGTCGGACAGTTTTTACTTGGAGCTGTAGGACAGAATTGTGGGAATTGCTTATTTTGTTGATAGAGGTTGAGTTCAAGGCCCCTTTCATACAAAGCACACCCTCTACTATGGAAAGATACATCCCTAGCCCTAGAACTTATGAACATTTGTGAGATAACACTTTGGAAATGTAAACTACAATAGAGTCCTTAAATACAGTTTCCATATGCATTATCCCAGGGCTAGCTATAGGGTAGCTCAGCCTGGGTTCAGCTTCTAATAACACACACACACAAAGAGAGAAAGACACACACAGAGACAGACACACAAGACACACACATGGACAGATACACATGGACACATACAGGGACACACACAGACACAGACAGACTTACAAACACATGGATGGATATGGACACATGAACATCATCCACACAGGAACATACATACACATAGTTAGAAATAAATAAGCATTTTTCTTTTTTTTTAAAGATTTATTTGTTTATTATGTATACAACATTCTGCCTCCATGTATGCACACAGGCCAGAAGAGGGCGCCAGATCTCATTACAGATGGTTGTGAGCCACCATGTGGTTGCTGGGAATTGAACTCAGGACCTCTGGAAGAGCAGCCCGTGCTCTTAACCACTGAGCCATCTCTCCAGCCCTAAATAAGCATTTTTAAGTCATTAAATTTCTCAGCACACTAAATTAAACTTTATTAAGTTAATACTAAGAAGTCCCCGAATATTTTTTTTTTACCAACAGTCTTTCTGTCACTTCTGTTCCAAACCCTCCTGCCTTCTGAGAGTGTTTTCTGGTTGGCCCTTCACAAATGGGGGTCAGTTCTGAGATGGGCTGGTCTGCGTGACCTTCGTGTGTTTCAGACACTGTGAGGTGTGGGCAAGGAGTCTCAGTACGTTCAGTAGGAAGTTGGAGAGGGACAAAAGAGCAGTCGTTATAATTACAGGCAGTCGGTGCCGTCTGAGAACTCAGTGTCTGCCTCTGAAGTGTGGTTGTGAGTTTGCTTTTTGCTTTTGCAGAACAGAGAGTTCATCATTTTGTGAAGTAATTTGACTCATTTACTTAGTCTTTAGCATAGGAGAGACCTGTGTTTGAACATTGTGATTTTCCCCCTTCGTTAACGTCAGGAGGAGTGGCCATGCCCTGTAATGCAATGCTTAAGTAAAATTACACATTCGGGGCATCTAAATTGGCATGCCAAATTATAGGACATTTTAATTATTGTGTGGATGTGACAGATTCAATTATTCTTGAACTCTTTTTGAGAAAGCTGCCCTTAGCAGCAATTCACAGTAGTAAACAAAAGATTAATGGGAAAATACCCTTTAGGAGAGAGACTCAATAAATGTTTCCAATTAAATACCATGGGCCAAATGAACTGCAGCATCTAAACGTGGAAAACAACCGATGCCCTGCTTAGAGTTTCAGCATATTCTCTTAAGATGGATTTATTCTAAATACAACCTAAATGGAGAACTAACTACCACTTAGCCTCGGGGCTGTTTCCCTGGGTGCGTCATTTGGCCAATTGTCTCCAACTCTCTCTTCTGTCTGAAACCATTAGCCAAAGCCACTAATAAGTAGAGATGCAAGGTGAAGCACGCCTCCCGCCACCTTTCCGTTTCCAGTGTAGATTAGTGAGCAAGGCAGACATGGAAAGGGAGAGAGAAGGAAGCCAGGAAAGAAAGGTCAGCCACAGATACCTGGGCCCTGTGCAGCGCCGACTGGGCTGCCACCGTGGGCTGTGTGGACGTGGGATCGCCGGAATTTTAGGCTCAGTCCCTGCATTGCTTCTGTGGGTGTGTCCAGAGAGAACTGGGGTTTCTGGAGATGTCTTCTGTGCGCAGCGGTGGTGCCGAAGCTGCCTGTGCTCATTGGTCACACTGGCGATGACAAACCACAGCCAGCACTGTGACTTTAGGCAGCTTAACCTTGCCTGTGATTGCATTTGGTGCATAGCCCACCTTGCCAGCATCCTAAATAAACTCTAGAAGCCCATGCTTCTCCAGCAACCGCCCAGATTCTATCAAACCAGCTTGGCAACCTTTCAGGCCACTGTTGTTTGGCTTCCTTGACATTACCCACATTCTGAATAAACTGAGGTCAACTTTCCTCCGTCCATAGACTTCCTAGCTCTGCATGCATGTGTGTGTACCCCAAAGCTTAGTCTGAGGCTTTTAACAGCACTAACAGCCCCTCCCCGCCCCTGTAGCCTTGGCAGACTCTACAGAGCAGCAGACAGCTGAGAGCCTGTAATAATAGTCTAGAACTTCCATTTTTCTAGCTTTCCTGCAGCATTATAATAATAAAAGGTCAGGTTAGGCCTTTGTTTGTTCCATAGCTCAGGGGAATCAAGCCTTTCAAGAACCTTCCAGGCCTACCACCCAAATAGACAGTCTGTATTCTCCCTGGCCCAGCCCCTTTCCGAAGTATTGTCTGCGTTATAATACGTTGCTGCAAGACATTGTGTCTCAGTGGGCTTCTTTCTGCTGATGCCCAGGTTTTGGATTCGGGAAGACTGAAAGAATATGATGAGCCGTATGTTCTGCTACAGAATCCAGAGAGCCTCTTCTACAAGATGGTTCAGCAACTGGGCAAGGGGGAAGCCGCTGCCCTCACCGAAACAGCAAAACAGGTGAGTTCGCCCAGGAGTCTTAATTACGGTGTGTCTCACCAGCTCCCTCCTTGCCGTTTGGCACCAGGGGTCTGGTAAAGAGCACCATGTGCCCTTTTCAATTATAAGCCTCTGGAGACGAAGCTCCGACACGTCCAGGGTTGAAGTCAGGTCTACCAGGACTTGGCAGGAGCGTCAGGGAGGGGAGGGTGTGTGCACACACGCATGTGCAAGCAGGCGTGCCTAAGAGGCAGTGAACCTAACTGCAGACTCATGAAATTTCTTTCTTATATCTTATTGATACTTAACACATTGGCAGTGAAGATGTTGTCTTGGTACATCCAGGAAGTTAGAGAGGGGTTAAGTGAACATAGAGTATTGCTTATTCTAGAAGGATCTACCAGAGAGACATCTAGGTGGCTTTAGTTCTTTGCTTTATAATTTTTAAAGAATACTATTATATCTTTCTACCCCATCTCCATTTATAATTTATATGTATATTTACATAAATATGTACATCTATGGCCTAGAGTGTGTGAAGGTAGAAAAGGCTTTAAAGACATCCAGGTTGCACAGAGCATCCCAGCACACAGACTTCTCTTTGGTTTAAAGGACTGGATGCTGTATGGTCTGTTGTCGTTCATCTCCAGATGCCACAAGAGGGGTTCCTTTTTCCACCTTCGTTCTTTTCCGTTATTTCTCAGATTTTTTCAGCTCCATGGGCAGAATAAAATTGCTTGGGTTTGAGTGACATTTATTTGTGTGTCTATTAAAGATCACAGAAGGAGAAAGTAAGTGACCGGCACCCTCAGTCCTGTGCTAGCCATTCCACCTAAAGCCCAAGTCCCCTGTACCACTGCCGTCTCCTCTCTCTTTAGACGGGAGGAGAGTTGGTGTGCCATCGGGGGGGATGGGGGGATTAGAGCACCTGCCTAGAATGCTCGAGGGCTGGATGTGTCCCCAGCACCTCAAAACAGGGAGGGAGAAGGTCTGTGTCCTCTCATATTTTACTGAATCCTTTTTCCATTTCTTAAAAACTTGTAAGTAGGGCGTGGAGAGCAGGCTCAGCAGTGAAGAGCATTTGCTGCTCAATTGTGAGGACCAGAGTCTGGGTCCCCAAACTCAGGTAACAAACCAGGCGTCCCACTTACATATTGTGTGTACACCCCCACAGGTCTGCAGACTCACAGAGACACACAGTAACACATAAATAACTTTTAAAAACTACTAAATGTGTTTGTGTATATAAAAGTATTATATTGGACACTGTGTGCTAAGAACGTTAGCATGCCTTTAGTCATTGGTGATGCTGACAGAGCGGAGAACCAGCGAGCGGCATTTCCTGTACTGAAACATGATGACTGCAGCAGCGACGACGGTGGGGCTTTAGCACTCATTAGATGTGGTGGTCTGGAATACGATCCGGGGTCTCAGAACATTGTCTGCTTCAGGGGTTACGGCTCAGAGAACAGCAGGAAGTGCCCAGAATCACATAGCTAGCAGGGGATGGGAGACCGTGTATTTATAACCTCGACTTGGGCCCAGAGCACTGGTGCCTGGAACTTCCCACAAGGACTTACTCTGGGTGACCGAGGTGCGAGGCTGCCCTTTGGAGTGCTGTACTGGGGTGGGCGGAGCTCAATATTTATTTATTTATTTTTTAATTTATTTATTTATTAAGGATTTCTGCCTCGTCCCCACAACCGCTTCCCATTTCCCTCCCCCTCCCCCGATCAAGTCCCCCCCCCCTCATCTGCTCGAAGAGCAATCAGGGTTCCCTGACCTGTGGGAAGCCCAAGGACTGCCCACCTCTATCCAGGTCTCGTAAGGTGAGCATTCAAACTGCCTAGGCTCCCACAAAGCCAGTACGTGCAGTAGGATCAAAAACCCACTGCAATTGTTCTTGAATTCTCAGTATTCCTCATTGTCCGCTATGTTCAGCTAGTCCGGATTTATCCCATGCTTTTTCAGACCTAGGCCAGCTGGCCTTGGTGAGATCCCAATAGAACATCCCCATTGTCTCAGTGTGTGGGTGCACCCCTCGTGGTCCTGAGTTCCTTGCTCGTGCTCCGTCTCCTTCTGCTCCTGATTTGGACCTTGAGATTTCTATCCGGTGCTCCCGTGTGGGTCTCTGTCTCTGTCTCCTTTCATCGCCTGATGAAGGTTAATATTCCTGAGGATGCCTATGTGTTTGTCTTTGGATTCACCTTATTTAGCTTCTCTAGGAACATGAATTATAGGCTCAATGTCCTTTATTTATGGCTAGAAACCAAATATGAGTGAGTACATCCCATGTTCCTCTTTTTGGGTCTGGCTTACCTCACTCAGGATAGTGTTTTCTATTTCCATCCATTTGTATGCAAAATTCAAGAAGTCCTTGTTTTTTACTGCTGAGTAATACTCTAATATGTATATATTCCATACTTTCTTCATCCATTCTTCCGTTGAAGGGCATCTAGGTTGTTTCCAGGTTCTGGCTAATACAAACAATGCTGCCATGAACATAGTTGAGCGTATACAATGGAAAAAAGAGAGCATCTTCAACAAATGGTGCTGGCAAAACTGGATGTCAATCTGTAGAAGAATGAAAATTGATCCATATCTATCACCATGCACAAAACTCAAATCCAAATGGATTAAAGACCTCAATATCAGTCCGAACACACTGAACCTGATAGAAGAGAAAGTGGGAAGTACTCTACAGCACATGGGCACAGGAGACCACTTCCTATGTATAACCCCAGCAGCACAGACACTAAGGGCATCATTGAATAAATGGGACTTCCTGAGGCTGAGAAGCTTCTGTAAAGCAAAGGACACTGTCACTAAGACAAAAAGACAACCCACTGACTGAGCTCAATATTTAGAACACTTCCTTTTCTAGAGTCTCCCCCCCCACTCCACTCCCACCCCCGGCCCAGGTTCCCTTTCGTGAGACCTGGTCATTTGAGAATCACCCAACAGGAACTTCAAACGTTTTTGTAGTAGACATTCCCCGCCCATGCATCAATCCCCTCCCACCTTTTACACTGTTGTGCTGGAAATAAAACCTAGAGTCTGGGACCTGCTAGACATGTGACTCCGTCCACTGAGCCACACCCTAAGCCCCTCAAAGGCCCACAGCTGTTGTGGGTTGTGGGTGTTGCCCAGTGGTAAAGCCCTAGCCCAGCGTGTCTGAGACCCTGAGTTTAATCTCTGGTTTAATCTCTGAAGGAGGGGGGATGTTGGATGGAGAGAAAGAGACATTGATAACGAATGGTCTTCCAGTTCAGTTAGATCTACATCATGTAAATGAACACAGTCCCAAAGCCTCATTCCTTTCTCAGGGGATATATGCGCATATACAGGGGCACACACCCTTTTGTGTGTATCGAGACCACGGTTGACGCTGCTTCTCTTTCTACCTCCTTGCTGATTTGGTAGCCTGGTGGTCAGCAAGCCCTACCCCCGCCCCCGTCCCTGCCTCAGCATTGGGATCATGGGGGCACACGGGACTCTAACACGGATTCTGGGGTCTAAGCCCAGTTGTGCTTACACAGCACCGCTTAACTAGCTGAGCCATCCCCTCGGCCCTGCGACATGTTTATTCTAGAGAGATGAGGAAAGCGAGGCCCAGGAGTTGAGACGGCCCACCGTTACCCTAATTTGTAGCAGGAATTCCAGCTCTTCCCCCTTCAGCCAACATTTTAATCCAGGGGTATCATCCATGCAGAGGAGAGTACAGATCACAGTACGAGAAATATCTCTATGCTCTTCTATTCAATTTTGGGCTTTCATGATCGGTCCTGCTCTAGTTTGCTTTTGATGGCTGCTCATAAAGACCATGACCAGAAGCAACTTGGGGAGAAAGTTGTCTTCTTTGGCTGACAGGTCCCAACCACAGTCCATCAAGAGAAGGCAAGGTGGAAACCTAGGGAGAGGAATTGATGCGGCCACCATGGGGAATGCTTCTTCTCTTCACTTGAGCAGCTTGCTTTTTAGACAACCCAGAACCATTGCCCTGCCCTTTTGTGTCAATCATTCATCTGGAAAATGTCTCCACAGATTTTCCCACAGGCCAGTCTGATGGAAGCAGTTTCTTGGTTGACATCCCCCCAAAAAGAAAAAAGACCGAGCACACTTAGCTTTCTGTGGTCCTTTAGGAGTTATTTCAGCATGTGTTTTCAGTTCTTGGGTGTGTGATTTCTGGCAATCCTCATGGCAGGTTTTCCCCCCACTTGGTTGGTGGTGAGGTGGATAGGTCAAGGGTTTGAGAAACACAGAGAGTAGAGGGTGCATTGCCGGCTGAGTCTGATGCCTGGCTCTAGGTACTACATTTAAAAACACTACCCCTTGTTTATTTGGTATCTGTGATGGGCCTGTTCCCCTGACATCTGTGGTGGCAGGTGGTAGAATTAAACCTGGATGGAAGCCCTGCCTCACCTCTGGAGTTGGTTACATCTACAGACAGACGGGAAGAGACATTGAACTCAGTTGGCATTCTTACCGCGCACACCGAGGCTCTTTTAGGAGACAAGCTGTCCAGTTGCCTGTATTTTACGTGCATCTTCAGAGCTGTAGCACTGTGACACGGACCCCATTGAGCCGCAGACTAAGCCTAGGCAGCACCAACCAGCCTTTTCCTCTCACAGAGCAGAGTTGATTGTTCTCAGTTCAATCCCAACACGTGGATGAGGGGCTTCCAAGTCACATGATCTTGACCCGTAGATTCCTTTCTGAAGGGGTTGTTGCTGACTTGTCCTGAGCTTGTCTTTTAGATGGGGTCTGTGTCAAAACAGTGCTTTTCAGATGCCTTAGCATGAGGGTGTTTGCTGGACTCCAGCAACGTGCATCTTGTATTTGTCCTTGTAAACGAGGAGCCACCCTGAGATGTCATTCTGACTTTATCCCCTCTGTAAGGACACTGTCTACAAGTGTAGTTGCATCCTGGGGTACTGGGGTTAAGACACTGAGCTGAGCTTTTAAGACAAATGGAGTCACCACACAGCTGAGCCCATAATGGAAGGTGACTGTCATTTTCT